GCCGGCTTCTGCCACTGCCACGGCGGTAATGGGAAACTCTGTCTCAATGTAGTCGGCGGCATTCTTTGTCCGCGGGTCCCAGATACCAATGGTGCCGTCGTCGCTGCCGCTGATCAGCATCTCCTCGCCGCGCTTTGTGATGTCGAGCGTGTTGATGATCTCCTCGTGGCCAATGTAACGCCGTATGCGCTGGCCCGATGTCAAATCCCAGCTCGCAAGATGCATATCGGCGGAGGCCGAGAACAGTATGGACGAGTCCCGCGACCACTGCAGATCTAGGACGGCACCGCGGTGACCGTTGAGCACGCCGTAGTTCTCGCAGTCGCTGTGTGATCGCCACAGAAGTATACTGCGATCCATGGAGCCCGAGGCAACGAGATTGCCCGTCGGGTCGAATTTGGCGGCAAAGACCTCGCCAGAGTGGCCGGTGAGTTCCATGACCGGGGCATCGAGACTGCTCGTCCGCGGGGCCTAGATAGCAACAATCAGTTAGCAAGAGGCGGCAGCAGCCGCGGTTGCGGTTCTCTCGGGCGAGCATAGGGACGTGTCCTCACCGACTGGATCAAGGCACCGCTCGAGGAGCCGTTTCGATGGGCCAGTGCGGTACTCGTTCCGACATTCTGGCGCTTGACAATCATCTGCCCTGCGGCGCCTGGATCGTCCGACGGGCGACGAGGGCGCTTCTCTGCCATGCTGGGCGTTCGTACGGGACAGACGGCGAAACGGGAGCGGCAAAGAGGCGGGGTAGAGGTGTAGGGCAAGCAGAGTGCCGAGACGGCCGAGTGTAATGCTTCAATGGATCAGTTAAACCGCCCGAACTTGTTGCGCGGCAGCCGAGCTCAGGTATAGTACAGTATCGCGAATCGCGAATGGGCGTACCGTAGCCGCGTGGACTGGACTCTGGACTGGCAGCTCCAATGGAAGGAAACAAAATCCATCGGCGGCGCTAATGTTCCGGGCCGACGAGATGACGTCGGCGTTTGGGCTGGCCGAGCGCCGACGCCCAAGGTCCCCCAGGAGGTCCCCCAAGATCCCAATTGCTCTGTTCCACTGTTCTGGCCTGTCACTGTGACTTTCTGCCTTTGTGCCCCGCCGTTCCGCCCACGCCCAGGTAGACCATTCCACCCTGGCGCGACCCCCCCGTCCACGTCGCCTTCACCGCCCTACATTCTGCCACGGTTCATCGCGGCGACAGCGGCAGCACAGCGGAATGCGATAAGCAACAACGACGACGACGACGACGACGAAGACGACGACAGAACAAATAACACGCCATCTCCGACGCCTCGACTTACCAAGAACATACATAAAAGGGAGTGGCCGACGGATTACGCGGCGGTTCAATGATCTGACGAGCCACCATCCTCTCTACCAGGCCCATCAGCTGGTGTCAGAGCCATGTCGGCAAACAAGGCGGCCCGGGTGGGCGAGGAGTACGTCCCAAGCACCTGTCCCATCTGCCATATATTGAAGCCCTGAATATTCCAAAGCTGACACGAGCCCGCTGCAGGATCTGGAAGTGAGTCTTCCCCCCCGCTCCCCTGTCGAGCACGAGCGTCCCAAGACATCGCGAGCCCACTGACCATTCATTCCTGCAGGGGCCGCATAGACAAGGTCAACGCCGAGCTCGTTACCCTGACCTACGGCACCATCGTCGCCCAGCTGTGCAAGGACTTCGAGGCCGACTACGTCGAGGTGAATAAGCAGCTCGACCGCATGGGCTACAACATTGGGCTGCGTTTGATTGAGGACTATCTCGCCAAGTCAAACACGATGCGCCGGTGTACCAACTTTCGAGAGACGGCCGAAATGATATCCAAGGTGCGTCCGCTCGTTGCGGCATCTTATGCCATCCCTACCGCGTTTGTCGCTGTCTCTAATACCACGCTGCTCCTGGTCTCAGGTTGGCTTCAAGATCTTCCTCAACATAACACCGACCATCACCAACTGGACCAACGACGGCAAGCAGTTCTCTCTCGTGTTCGAGGAGAACCCCTTGGCCGACTTTGTCGAACTCCCCGACGACGGCCGCGCGCAAGACGAGCTCTGGTACTCCAACATTTTCTGTGGTGTTCTGCGAGGCGCCCTGGAGATGGTTCAGATGCAGGTAGAAGCGCACTTTATCAGTGACGTCCTCAGGGGCAACGATACAACGGAAATGCGGATAAGCTTGATAAGATACATCGACGATGAGCTGCCGCCTGAGGACGACTAGCCAGGCGAGAATCGGCCGGGGGCAGGCGCAACATGTACAACTAGATTAATAGGGATCCGGACACTGCGAATAGAATGGTGGGCTGATAACTGACTCCCGTCACTTCTTTGTGCCACAATCAAGTTAGAGCCGCCAAAGTAAAAGTGCTGTCATTCACACCTGCCAGCCAACGCCAGATTTGAGCGTCTGTAGCTTGGCAATCTGCATGTCCTCCTGCTGACTGCATAGCAGCATAGCAGACAACAGAGTGAAGTCGGAAAAAGCTTTCTTGGCATTCTTGCATGGAGCATTGCTCCTGTCTCGGGACACGCGGAAGCCTAGCGGGCAAGCACTGCAAGCCCCAATGTGCCTATAGTATATTCTTCCAGCGACACATATTAAGCCTAATCCAGAGACGGGACGCGCCGTTGTCTTTCCAATCCCGCTGCCGGGCCCCGCTCCGCGTCCCTGGCTCGCTTCCGCAGGGTCCGGCTTCCTGCAGACGTGTGGCTCTCTGACGCCGGGTGGCTAGTTGATGCAGCAGCTCCTCTCTAGGATGAGATAGATCGCAAATACAAACAAAAGAGTAGCCGTGCGGCGGCCAAAATGCCGGGTCCAGAGTCGCATTGCAGTGAGAGAGCTCACTACTGGCTTGGGGGGTCCAGCACCGCTTAGATGCGTCGTACCTGCGTTGGTTCATGCGCCAGGCTGATCGCGGCGCTCGCGGCTGAGTGACGTCCCGCAGCCAGTCACCAGTTGATGGGCCACGGCATTGTAACGGGGATTGTCAGATAAGATAGAGCGGAGAAGAGAGAGGACTATTTCTCAGTCCATACCACCACACCAAGCGGTTCCGGCTTCCTGGTCCTCGTCTGCTTTACCATGTCGGACAAACCTATAATCAAAGTAGACAAGTTATGTGCGACTTCCACCCTACAAACCCCTGTATTGAGTATGCACGTGTGGCGAAAAAGCGATCGGTACTTGATATCCACTTTCAACTGTCAGATGGTGTCATGAGCTAGTTCGTTCCCCAGACAAGCCCAGGATAGGGGAAAGAAGGGTTGGAAAATAAAAAGGAGTCCTCCTTGGCTCAGCACTAACAGCTAGAATGACAAGGTTGACGCGGTTGAACGGTGGGGAACTAGAGAACGCGCCGCTGATCTCGCCCCCAGAGATCTGCCCTTTGCTCCGTACTCCGAAACCTAATCATGGAGTGTTGCCGAACACAAGCGTTTTATAATCACCAGCAGCGGACGCTACGCAGAAAGCCATACATGTACATATTGCTAGGAACGTAGCCGGGGCATGAAATGTACGACAATGGAAGGAGTCCGTCTTTCCTTGTCTTCAGCAGCTCTCCCTAATAAGTAGACAAACCTGCCACTCTTCAGTCTTGAGGCCTTATAGCTGTCGCGCCGATGTCCCACTGGTACATTCAAGTTCTGCCGGAGGCCGGCATCATACACGGGCAGCCAACTTTCCGATTGTGCTCGTGTTGGTCAGTGCCTTCTCAGGCACATCCAATCATTATGCAATGAGGGGCAGTTGACAACAGGCCTGACGCTGGCCTATGAATGAGAGTTGGCACATCATCAACACGAGGGGAAGAAAACTTGACTTCACTGGGAAGTCTATAGGGTGCTGCATATCCCCACGGAGGCGACCCAGTCCTTGCCATGTAGAGAAGCACATTGAGGCCGTAACCTGAGGCTTTTGCGATTTGACAACCTATACGAACTTGTAGTGACAGGGATCTGGGTGTTCCCGCATATCGCCGGCCTCAACACAGCGCATCGAACGAGGAGCGAGATGGCAAAGTACCGGTATATGATATGAGCAGACAACTTACGACAGCACGAGAGCAACAGCACAACAACGGGCTGCAGCCGGAAGAACGTTCGACGCGGTTTTCACTCTAGCTAATTCATGAGGGCGTCTAATCTAATAATTCGGCTTTCATTTCGGTGTGCTCCAAAGTCCTAGGTTGCGATCCGGATTGACGTTGTTCCCGCCGCCAAGGCCACACCCTCTGGGAGCGAGTCTGCCCGCGGACTATCCAGCACAAGTCGGCACAGAAATATGCAATTGACACGCTCTCAACTCGAGGAGATTCCCCAGAGCTGCGCCATCAACCTGACCTATAAAACCCCTCCGAAACACTGTAGGATGCATGCGCAGGTCGAATCGACGCGTGCCAGGTCGTCCGTCGCGAACATGAAATTGGCGTAGTGCGCCAAGGCCGGGATTGCTGCCTTAGCGGCCTTAACAGCCTTAAAACTGGGGTGTCGTGCTCACAGCTACGCAGGAGCGAGGCACCCAAAACGGCGAGTTGCGAGGAAATCAAGCTTTCGGCCATGCTGAAATGTGCGCACGACATCGGCCCTGCTCCGTGGGCTGTCTCAATGCGCGTGGTCTCGTCCAGACCTCTCTGGGACCTCTCGATGCCCCCAGCCCTTGGAGCCCTGGGAGCCCTTGCGCTGAGCTGACTGACTGGAACTGGAGCTGGACTGGATCTGGATGTCGCAAGTAGTCCGTAGTCCTGGCCCCGAGCACAGCTCTCACCACCACCTCCCCAGGCCCCCATCCATCTAAGCCCACCCAAACTAGCTCAGAGACACTGACAGCAGACCTTCTTCCTCCCTCCTCTGCATTCTCTGAATTTACCCCAGGAGTTCTCATGGGCATCGTGCTACTCCCGTTCTGTTGAATGCCACCAGAGCCGTAGAGACTCTCCGCAGTGCCCATCCTGCTCTTTTCCCGGCACCATTACCGGCGAACAGCGCTGTATTAGCAGCTCCGGGAAGCGAAGATATAGAGAAGCGCACCACCGGCCGCGCACACGCTAGGAGCCGTGGCTAGCTGCCCCAGGGTACCCATTTTAGGGCCTACCAGTGTTCGTACAGCGCACTGCACTGCACTGTAGCGCGCGCAGGGCCCAGCGTCTTTAGCTGGCCGGCTCCCTGTATTCACCTGGGCTCTGGACTACGGCTATAGCTACAGCTTCAGCCACAGCGGATTCAAAGTCTGCTGGAACTTTCCCTTCCCCTTCCATCTGCCCCAATCGCCACCTGGGTTCGTCCCCAGCCAGCCGGTCTCTCAGATTCGCCGTGTTATTCCCTCCCCCTCCCTCCATTGGCGACATTTATTTGTTCGAACATCGAAGAAAATCGCTTGAGGTCGGAACGGAACTGGCCCCCTTAGTGTTCTTGGACGTGACTGGAAATATTTGTCGAAAGGCGGCGGTCGTTCTCGACGTATTTTCCAGATCCAGATCCAGTTCCAGTTCCCATCGCGCCATCCATTCCGGACCGGACAGTGGTCTCTCTGGGGTTGATCTCGGATGCCCAGCCCCCATTGCCCATCACTAGTCTGCCCACCAGCAAGCACCACCCAGGCCACCCTCAGACTTTGGGCCCCCGGTGCAACCCATCCTGCACGGCATCCATCCTATCTCACCACGAACCCCAGCCCCAGCCCGGCGACCAAGACAGACATATCGTCGACCACATACTTCCAGACAGACGGACGGGAGGATACAGACCCAGCCGACGAGCACGCCCACGAGTGATCCGACTTGTCGTTGCCAACGTTGCCGTCGCCACCCAGCAGCAGCGCCAACAGTGTGTCGCTGATGACCGGTTCTGAGTCGTGTCGCCCTGCTTCAGCACTCTTCACGACTTGCAGGACAGGCACCGCAGCTCGCTCTGTTCGACGACTGTCGCTAATCGCCCCCCGGGGTCCAACTTACCTCTAACTCTTAACTTACCTACTCTCTACTCTCTCGCGGCTCCAGCGCGCGACTGCTCACACCGACCGCCAGATCTGCCTCATCCATCCTTTTCCTCCTTCTCTTGCGCCCAGCCAGCACTGACCGGGACTGGAGTCGGATTGGACTGGAATCGCATCCCATCTCATCTCGCCGCCCATTCGCTTGTGTCGCGATCACAGAGTTTTCCTTTTTCTCGGGTTCCTTCCCCAACTCTGTCTTCCCCAATTTCTCACCTCATCATCGCCGCCATTTCCTAGCCCGCCACGTCTGCCGGCTTCTCCCTCTCTCTCCCTTTCTCTCTCCATCTGTATACCTGCGGCTGCATTGATTATTCACTCCTGGCTTTGCTACCGTGCTGCGCCATCCCTGCACGTCCTTTTCTTGTGTCCGACAGAGCCCGTCTCTTGTCGCTCTCGTCGCCTCTCTATCTCTATCTCTATCTCTATCCTGGGTTAGGGGAATTCCCAAAGGGCCAACCACTACCGCCACCTATTTTCCAACTCCCTCCAACACGCCCAGGCATTTGAGGCAACAACCTGCAGCGCTGACAGCTTTCGCGCGTCCCAAGGCGCCCACGACGCAGGCCAATATCGAGCGACGAGCGGTTGCATCCTTGCAGTCCGCTCCTTTTTTGGCACTGTCTTGTCGTCGTCGGTTCCCGCTGCTGCCCACCGAGACAAGCGCCACCCACGCGGCTCGCCATCCCACGGGATTTGTCACGTCACGTCACGGTGCCCGGCGGACCATCTGGTTTCTTCGCGCTGGCTTCCCAGGCGTCCCGACCCGAGCTGTATCATACCGCGTCAGCCTCGGCGACCATTGCGCGACTACCTATACCAGCCTCACTCGCGGACCCGGCTCGACTAGACTGATCTGATTCAGGAGACCGCAGACCTCGTCTGCCCACAGCCAAGACCATGAACAACGTAGGCATGGCAAATATGAATGCCATGGCGGGGCCCGTAGGCGGACCTATGCCGATGGCCATGAACAACGGCGCGATGCCCGGCGCGCAACACATGCAGCAGCAGCAGATGAGCCAAAAGTCCATGTTGAACACCTACATCTACGACTATTTCCTCAAGGAGAACATGCATGACCTGGCCCGCAGTATACTCAGCTACGACCCGAGCATCATCACCTTGCCCAAGGACAGTCCTGGGCGCCGCCGCGATGAAGGCGGTCTGGGCGGCGACGACGCCATGGACACGGATAGCAAGGACGAGCTTGAGAAGCGGCCGAGCGACCTTCCCGCAGCGAACGTCCCGGCAACCTCGGACTCGTGTTTCCTATACGAGTGGTTCGCTCTTTTCTGGGACATGCTGAACGGTCATCGCGGAAAGCCTGGTGGCAACTCACAGGTGAACCAGTACATCCACCACACACAGGTAGGCCCGCCGCAACCCGCAGTAGCCAGGCACAGTGGACAGCCGGAAAAGCTCACAAAGTTTTATAGCAGCAGAACCGATTGAAGCAGAGCCAGCAGCAGGAGATGCTGCGGCAGATGCGCCCTGAGATGCAGTTCAACCCCGCCGCCATGATACGGACTATGCCCAACGGCATGCAGATGGCCGCCGCCAACAAGAACAACCTGGCCAGGACGGCCATGGCCAACAACCAGAACAAGTGAGCTATGCCATGAATCCCGTCCCCTTACCTCTCTACACCGCTCGAGAAATGCTGACTGGCAACCTGTACAGCCCGCAAGCCATGGCCCTGATGCAGCAGCAGGCCAAGCAAAACCAGATGCAGCGCGAGCCCTCGGACATGGAGGGCAACCGCCGGCCAGCTTCCCCCGGATCGACAGACAACGCGCCCTCCCCCAAGAGGGCGCGTCTCGACGGCAACGCGCCGTTCAACGGCCAGCAGGCGGGCATGATGCCCAATGGACGGCCCCAACAGCAGGGAATGCCGGGACAACAGGTGGGCAATGGCCCCGTGAACATGAATAGCAGTCAAGTAGCTCGAGTACAAGCGGCCACCCAGCTACTGATTGCGCACGACATCGATCCAAAGTCGCTGACTCCTGAGAAGTTCCAGAATTTCGCGAATCAACCGCCAAACACCCAGAAGGCGTCGATCCAGAGCTATTCTCAGAACCTGCAGCAGCACCATGGCCAGCAGATGCCTAATAAGGGGATGGCCCAGCCCGGCAACCCCCAGGGCCAAGGTTCTCCAATGATGCCGCAACCGAACCCCGCCGATATCAGCACCATGTATAATACGAACGACTTTGCCCCGGGAGGCATGCGTCCCGGCCCGGCCAACGGTCAAGGCGGTGGCAGCAACCATGCTCTGCAAGACTACCAGATGCAGCTGATGCTTTTGGAGCAGCAGAACAAGAAGCGTCTCATGATGGCCCGGCAAGAGCAGGACAGCATGGGTGGCATGCAGCCTCGCGCTGACGGACCTGCCGGCCCAGGTGGTCCTGGTGGTCCCGGAGGCCCTGCTGGCCCCAACGGCCAGCCCTTCCCCGACGCTTCACCTCAGGGAGTAAGAACCGGCGCTTCGCCGAACCCGAGTGAGCAGATGAAGCGGGGCACGCCGCAGATGGGCCCTGCCGGCATCCCGTCGCCGCTACCTGAAGGCGCCCAGTCCCGGGGCTCTCCGAACCCCATGGGCTTCATGCCAGGCGCCAACATGGATCCCAACATGGCAGGCAACCCACAGTTTTTCAAGGGTATGAACGGCATGGACGGCGGCATGGCACAGATGAACGGAGGTGCTATGCGCCCCCCTAGCTCGCACCCCCAGCCCTTCAACGGTCAGATGACGCCTCAAATGATGGCCGCCAGACAACAGGGCGGGCAAGGCGCGCCGAACCAAATGCAATGGCAGGGCGGCCCCAACGGTGCCATGGTTCCCCAGGGACCCCAAGGCCCGTCCCAGGGCACACCGCAACAAAGAGCAATGCCCCCGCCGTCAGCACCAGGTGCCGGCGCCAACGCCGCCAACGGCCGGGCACAGCCCGCATCGCCGGCGCCGAGCAATGCGGCGCCACCAACGCCCCAGCAAGCTAACAAGGCCGCCCCCAAGAAGAAGGACAGCAAGGCCGCTAAGAGCAAGGTGAGTGCATGCTGGGCCCCTTTCGAGTTGCCCAGACAGCTGATATACTAATGCTAGGCTGCGGCGCAAAAGAAGACCAATGCAACAACTGGCGCCACCCCAGCAGCAGACGCTTCACAGGATTCAGAACCGACGCCCGCGACACCCATTACCCCGGCCAACTCGGCGAGCTTTGGCAAGAACGGACAAGGAGCCGCAAACGCTCCGCCGGTCCCCAACGCGCAGACGTCGGCGCCTCCTGCGCCTACGGCCCCCGTGGCCCCCCCGGCCCATGCCGACCCCTCAGCTGGTTTTGGTATGGACAATGGCAGCATGGTAAGTCCCCCCAGCGCGTCCCTCCCATGTGAGCGTGGCTAAACAGAAATTGCAGAACATGGACTTTGGTCTCGACTTCGCCAACCCCATGAATTCAGACAATGTGCTCCAGGACTTCGACTTCGACTCGTTCCTTCACGATGGTGATGGCGGAGAGACCACATTCGACTTTAACCCCACGACGTTTGATATGCAAGGCACAGGCGAGATCACAACCGAGTAGGACGAGTTTATTGAACTACCCTAGTCACGCATTTCACTCGGCATGGGATTTCCCTATTATTCGGGCATGTCAAGGCGTTCATCGGCTGTTGTTTCGACTCTTGCATCATCTCCATGGCTGGCGTCCCCGCCCTCGACGGTTTGACGGCTTTACGCGCTCAACAGGCAAACGAACACACGACCCTCCAGCAACACTTGAAAAGTCCTCTCGAAACGGTTCAGCTTTATTCCCTTTTTATTCCCCGTAGATTGGCGTTATATTCTGTCGTGTTGGTCATACGTCTGCCACCACCACCGCTCATACACCACGGCTCCTGCATAGACAGCCGCCCTGGTCTTTTGCAGGTATGCAGGCACTGGGCGATTTATTGAGGATTTCGTCAGTGCATAATGGAGTTAGTCTGACTCTGTACTTTGGAGGGAAATACATATTACAGTCTCGATTTGCGTCTTGCGGTCTTTTCTTTGTTCTCGCGTATTTGAATGCTTTACACACACTCTCAGACAAACACACACGGTGGTTTCATCGGCCTTCGCGCCGGAAGCCCCTCTGCACATCTTTCATACAAAATACCTGGCGTTTTGCGGCCTAGGAGTCGCGCGCTGCTAATACGTCAGGCCAAAAGGCTGCTCATGCGTCAAATGTGTTCGATAGAGTAAGACGCGACTCGGTGGCGAAAGTGGTGGGCACAGAGGTTTATGGATAGCTTTTGGGACTGGTCTCTTTCTTTGTGAGATTAGCTGCTGTCTGAGGTGGTCTTTACACCCTTTGATACGCCTAAGGGGCATTTGGAGTCAATGGTATGGCTTTCTTATGATGTTCAAGTATTTGTTGTCTCCTCAAATCGTGAACCAATGTTGTAGCTCGTACAGTTGTGCATATTGTTACAGAATGCGGTTCTTAGTAATGGCCTCCATGAAATTTCTGTGCTAGCACTCCGGCGTTCAATATACCACCGGGGGTCAGCTCTCTGCGTCGCTCCGAGAATTTGGTTAGAGGGCGTAGGAAGTCATACAAGTGAATTGAGTCTAGGGGTGGAATGCCATGTTACCTAAAGAACAACCCCGAAGACAATCGTTGACGAAACTGACTGTCCTACTCCATATCCATGGCAAGGGATCCTAGCTATAATTGCCTTTCCAGAGCTCTTATAATTACGGAAACAAGACTCGGTTCTCGCAATACCCACCCAATGTTGTATATCTCCCACTATACCCTACCTACTGTGTGTCCGATATACAAACAGTGTTTATCTACATCCCGCCACCTCCTTCCGTCTCTGCTCAAATACATAAGTATCAGATCTCCATGGCCCATCGACAATGGCTTGAGTCGTCCATTGGGCTTGTCTAACCTTCCTATTAGTTTTCTGGTATATATTGCGAGCTCTATTCACCGTAGGAAGAACAATCCCTCTCTATACATATTTGCAACCTCATACTAGCATTATTGCTGCCCTGATTTGGGTTGAGGCACCTGTCAAAGGCCGCTTACACGCTAATTCGCAAACAACGAAACAATTTGATGCTCACAAAGGCAGCTGACCATTTCCTGTTGACCTTTGTCCCTTCCATATTTTGAATGTTGTATATAACATGCATTGGCAGCCTGGACTTGGGTTCCGAGAATTCTCACACAATCCCAATTTTACACAGCCCCTATTATATGCAAATGATTCAGAATGACTCACAGCATGGACTCGAAGGCTGGTGTTTTGAAATTTTGCCAGGCCGCGGACTGTTATCGCCCCTTACCGCCGGGCCCTTGCATCGACGGCTGTTGTCCCAACTGTCAAAAAGACGTTGCTGGACTCTTCTCGTTTGCGTTGATTTTCGTCTTATGTGGGCTTCTCTTTACATACTGGCAACAGTTGCGAACCTTTCTATACCTGCAGTAGCCGTGATCGTCTGCGGCCTCCTACCTTTTTTAGAGCTGGCGCTTGGGGTTTACCTGTGAGGCTCAGATTATAGATATACTTTACAATTATAAATATCTGAACTACGGCAATAGAAGCCATTTTCCGGTGACAGTAAAAGATAACCCTAACTGGCTGCCTTTATATTGGAAGCCTTCCTCGGGAGCAACCTCCATAATATTTGTTCACGACCCAAGGGCTACAGTATTCTTATATCCAGCCGGCTGCTGTACGAATCTATACCATGTAGTAATTGCGACTTTCCTTGGTCCTCGCTTGTGCTGGAATTTCAATGCAATATATCCAGCACTGGCCATCTAGTGATCCCTAGAGCCTTACGGGCTGCAATTGGACTTGGCGTATTATTCAATTATAGAGTCTGAATCTTGACACCAGCAAGTGTCAGCTCTGGTGTGAGACTCATGAATGCTACATGTTTGCTAGGTGGCCTCTTTGATAGTTGTTAAGACCATAAATCCGAACGAGCGCCGTTCTTAATGAAGGAACAGTTACGAATGATAGTTGGAACCTAGCGTAGTCTTCCCTACTGGTGTCCACTGATTGCGCTATATATTAGTATATAATAAAGGCTGAAGGCCCCTAGTCTCTCACTGTGGCATGATCAACAGAATTGGCGAGCGTCAATAATAAACCAAATGTGACGTTCACATTAACTTCGCTAACCCACCGTGGCAGGGTTGGTACACTGTCAGACGGTTGAGCCGAGGTCTAGATCTATGTAGGACTGTTACCGAGTATCTGATTGACCAAACGGTCACGAGCAGGAGACCTGACCGAGGAAAGTGGACACCTCAGCGGAAAAGGCCTAAGCAGAATAGTCAACAAGTAGCGTGCTCTGTGCCGCCCGTGCATGCGCAAGGTCCGCATGGTTTCCACGTCTGCCACGAGGTCGTGTCGGCTCTCGATCAAGGCGGGCGGCAGACCTGTTTGGGGCCTTCCGAGCTTGGACTCGTCTCTCTCTGAGCCCTCTCTGCGCTGGGGCTCTGATTGGCGACCTGGAACGGAGGCTAATGAGGTGCTAGCCCTCACAGCCAGGGGGTTAGAATCCAAGCGGTAATCAATCAATAATTAGCCCCCTCCACTGTCAGAACCACAATGGAATTTCTTTACAGACGCGGGGTCGCCGACGTAATAGGCACACGAGTAGACGCATCTCACCTGGACAGCCACGTGAAAGAGTTGAAGACTGTGCCGTGAGATGGTCTTGTAGAGTGCCTGGGGAGATGGCATATAAATGCACCAGTGGTCTGCTTCAATCCTAGAATTGAGCACACTGACAAGAAATTGGAACCCGATAGGCTCGTGGGGTCACGTTGGCTTCGTCTCATCTCAACCTGCATGCTGTAATTTTTTTTTCTTTCTCAACCCTGCTTCTCGAGATCCGACCTCTGATTGTGGGGACGTTCACCTCTCGTCTTAATGGCTGATTGTCGGTCCTTACGGCGTTCAATCGGGAAGGCCAGATTAAGATCCTGCAACAAACTCCCTGGCCTAAATAGAATGTACTCTGGTGGAGGGGTAACCAATGTCGTGTGAGTAGAGCGTCGTATTGTCCACCTCGTCCTTATAATTCTACTGAGTTTCGACATGGTCCAAGTTCAGCTTTTTGATCCTGTGGCACGCTTGACTCGTGGATATTGGGGGAGATGGGCAGGAAGAACCAAAAAAGCGCCAACACCGAGTTGAAGAGAATATGATCTTAGGTATTAGTGCAGCACCGGATAGCTCGCTAAACGCCCGCAGCGAACGTGTCGACACTAGCCTGGAAGCGGAGCCTTCAGGGCACGCACGGCTGGGACAACGTCCCGAAACAGCGGCCAATGTGCGCCTATCGGTGACTCTTGGGCCGCAACGCGGTCGACGAAAACGGCAGAGATCCAAGCTGAGCTGACGAGAGCAGGGTTGGCCGGCTCGATGACAGGGGCGGATTCCCTTTCCGCTGGTTCGTCCGTGATTGCAGAGCGCCCGCGCAGTAACTTACGTGCCTCCTACCGGCAGCGACCAAGGCAGGCCCTTAACCGAGCCCAGATGGGTTGAATACCATCTGACCACGGTATGCGTCCAGAGAATGGCGAAGCCATCGTCACAAAGTCTCACTCGAGAGCGGCCTGCTCGGCTGCACATCCCGCCCGTTCCTCGTCGTGGTTAATGCACCGATGCCATCCCAGGGCTGATGGGTGCTGAGACAGCCAAGCTGGATGGGGGGTTAATCAGCATCCCAGCTGGACAATCATGCGCCGTTCTGCGATTAACGAGAGACGGAACCATGTCTCTGGCAGGTCACACACGTCCTTCCAGCCCCTTCGCCCGCGTGCGGATCCACTGAACTTGCTTTGCTGGGGGCTTTTCCAGGGCTATTCCGCCGCGCGCTGCTACGAGGAGCGTGGGAGGTTGCCAGGCCCCCATCCCATCCCATCCCATCCCATGCCCTTCCCTGCTGGCGCCGGCCTGCTGGCTGGCTGGCTGACTGGCTCCATCGTTCGGTCGATCGTGGGTCTTGGCCGGCTCACTGCTGAAAGTTTTCCCATCTCTCCAGTTCTCTTCCGTTCTCTTCCCCTCCCTCCAAATTTAAAATTCGCATACTTGAACTCCGGCTCTGACTCTTTGGTGAACGGGACACCTTCCTCGATATAACGGTGGTTGTAGAAGCGCACATTCGGTGCAGACGTCGCTAGGAAAGAAGCAGAAGAGAAAAAAAGGCCGTCCGTGAGCAGGCATAGGAACACAATCCCCAGGCAAATAACCCCCCCCCCCCCCCCCCCCCCGTTGGAAACTCTCAAGAGGTGAGTGAGATTTTAAACTTTGTGATATTTTCCTTTCTACCTCTTCGCCCACCTATCGCTCTGGAAGCCCGCCTGCCGGTTGGCTGGTTCTTTTGTGTCGCCGTCAGCATAGCAAGGAAAGCTGTCCCTATCGCCCGCCTCAACTCCCTGGATCCGAGCCAGTCCAGGACGAAAGTCTGTCCCACACGAGCAAATATATCGAGAGGCAGAACCTAGTCGCCTGCTGCCTCGCTCCCGCCCGGGAACGGACGGGCTGCCGCGCATTCTCGTGTTCAGAGGAGCAGCAGTGACTAGAATATGGAGGACCCGTTGTCCTTGCACTGTTCATGTGGGCGCTCGCGGTCCGGCTAGAGCTCCCGTCCACGGATTACCGCCCGATTGTGCCCATGGCCTTGGCCGCGCATTACATCACTTGGATGTTATACACACTATCGCGCCGGACAAACGACGTCGTGCCTGCCACCCGCGACCAGTACGCCATGCACCTCCGTTCTCTTCCAACCCCACAAGCGATCACGGATCTGTTCCTGAAATAGAGATAAGCCATGGGGCCGGAATCCCGAGGTTGCGCGTGGTTGCACGAAGCACATGCATCCTGCAAGGTTCTGGAGAACTTGGCCCGCATGCCGTTGTGCTACACTACCATTGTGTGCGTTATGTGGGATGCTACCGCTAGACCACGTGGGGCTCTTTGATTTTTTTTTCTGGACCGGCCCAAGTTCGCGGGACTGTCATCGTCTCAGGATGTCATCCATGGATGTTATCCATGCTGTCCTTGCGTGTGGACTTTTTCGAGGACGATCCATGCCGCCTGGCATTCATCGAGGACTGGATCCAGCCGAACCAGACAGCGACCATCAGCAACAGCAGCAGCAGCTTTTCCACCGTTGTAGACGGGTTATCCGAGAGTGGACTGGTAGCGACTAGTTTTTTTTTTGTAATGCGGCTTGCTGACCATGGAACTGTGTAGACTATAAACTTGTCGCAATGTCTTCCCTGTCGCGTCGCGCCTGCTACAAGTGTGGTAATGTCGGCCACTACGCCGAGGTCTGCTCCTCTGCTGAGCGCCTCTGCTACAACTGCAAGCAGCCAGGTACGAACGCACACGAGGCTCTGGGTCATTCTGCGAAAGATTCCGCTTACTGACTGACTGCCCGCCTGTAGGACACGAGTCCAACCAGTGCCCCCTCCCTCGCACTACCGAGGCGAAGCAGTGCTACCACTGCCAGGGCCTCGGACATGTCCAGGCCGACTGTCCCACGCTCCGCCTGAGCGGCACCGGTACCAGCGGCCGATGCTACAACTGTGGACAGCCGGGCCACCTTGCCCGCGCCTGCCCTAACCCGGCGGGAGTCACCATGGGCCGTGGTGGACCGGCCGTCGGTCGTGGCGGCTTCGCGCCCGGTTTCGCACGCGGTGGTTTCGCCGGCGGCGCACGCCCCGCGACGTGCTACAAGTGCGGCGGCCCCAACCACTTCGCCAGGGACTGCCAGGCTCAGGCCATGAAGTGCTACGCCTGCGGCAAGCTCGGCCACATCTCCCGGGACTGCACCGCCCCCAACGGCGGCCCCCTCAACACCGCTGGAAAGACCTGCTACCAGTGCGGCGAGGCTGGCCACATCTCGCGGGACTGCCCCCAGAAGGCTGCGCCCATCGGCGGCGAGATCGGCGCCCCTGCCCCCGCCCCGGTCCCTGTCGATGTTGCTGCCGCCCCTGCCATTCCCCCCGTCGCATAGGCTCACCGTCCCGTGAGCTTGCCCCTCGGTGCTCGAAGACGTCGGGATGGTTGCGGAAGGGAGAAGACGCTGACGACGATATGACTCAACCCTCCGTATCTCACTTGAGCGGAGTGGACGGCTTAATGACCTATACCACCCAGCAACTAATTTCCATGGCCTCCTAATCACGGCGACTTCGGGATCTTGAGGCAACTGCATATTGTTGCCGCAACTATCAAGCTTTTGTGTTTTTCTTTGTTTGGTTTCTAAACCCCCCCTCGACTTCCTCCCCTCCCCAGGTCTGGCACACAGTTTCCATACACCTGTTTTGCAACCTGGCACAACACTATCAGCATCACGCATCGGGATTCGATTCGGCGTCCGGAGCGTGTGTCTCGACTTTTCACCTTGCACCGCATTTCTTAACTGTCTCCTCCCTTCATCCCGCAACGCATGCCCACCCAGGATGGTTAGACCACGAGCATCGGCGTCTTCGGCTTCATCAATTTCCCTTGGGACACTTGGTTGGAACACTGAGAAGTATTTCACGATTGTACCACTACCTAGACCAGCGTTTGGATGGATGGGTAGAAGCATAATCTCGACAAGATGACGAAGGCATGACTCGACCCCCCACGAACCTCGCAAGAGGAGAGCTAGGAGCGAGTGATGAGGGAAACGTTTTGGCGCCTGTTCATCCTGATGAATTCGTACTACTTGATTCCTAGCCTGGACAGCCAGGTTCTGGATACTCCACCACACAACACGACCCCTTTTACGGAATTTTCCTTGCAATTTTCAAGCTCTACGAAGGATCGGACGCATACGACCACGATTGAAACGCGAACAACATTCGAGACTCGCCGAGACACGAGAGAGAACAAATGACGGCACGGTTGTTGCAGCAGACTCGATGGAACGCACTGCAGCATTGAGCACAGACACGATTGCATACTTCAGAGCCGGCGGCGGCAGCGGTGAGAGCGAGTTGAGTGAGCGGGGGTGTGAGGTAGCGAGTAGAGCAGTAGTTGTGAGAAGAACAAAAAGAGTGCTGCAGATGGGGTCCCATCATTCGTTACTCAAACTGGTCTCCTGGTTGGAACTTGAGTGATGATGGCGTTTTGCTTGCGGACAGCTGGGATTACTAATCCCACATGGACGCTCTCCCTGCGCTGACTTTCGACATCGATATCAACATGCGCACCGAACCACCATCCCACATCAGGTAAGCACCATCCCTTTATTTCACCAGCCCTCCCAGCACACCCCATTGCCTTACATGATGAACTCCTTTTAGCTCTAGACCAGAGCCAACGATGATCGACAACATATCATGTTACACAGTCTCTGAATACAGGCATTTCTATTCAGCTTCTTTCATACTACTGCAGATTTTGAGAGTCCACCAAGCTGACTACCTTTGCTCTACTAGACACCCCAAACGTCTTCGCCCACCAGTGATTCAGTCTTTGTGAAACCTGCCCAGCCGGGGCCGGTCAACGGTAAGTTTCCAATCGAGTTTCGGTAAGTCCATAGGAATTTCCACGGCGTAAACAATGAATGGCTAGCTGCTCGGCATCAGCACCTTCCAAACAAGTCCGAGGTTATACAGCCTTTCGCTAGTAATCAGTTGTGGGCTACGAGCGAAGAACCGTCTGCCCAAGATCACCATGCCCCCACGGCATTGTTGATTGCCTGTGATTTGCTGCTTAAAAAGTACAAAATATATTGATCATCAGTCATGGTAAATAAATTTGCTTGTGACATGGCCAAAATCCACCGAACGGCCCCTGATCAGTCATCAATCAGGGTTTCGCCGAGTGTCCTCCCAAGCTGCACAATGGTCTTCTCGTACACCTTGGCCACACTCATGTGCAGCTCCTCTTCGTCGTCATCATCCTCTCCCCGGTGAAGAGCCTCGTCAATGTTGGGCGGCCTTTCCACTTCGCTGGGCTCCGATCCAGTTGGCGGTGGTGTCAGTTGTTGATTCAGTTCGGCGGCGTCATGCATGACGTGATCCTCATCGCGATCTACCACCTCCTCGTCCGAGTCGTCATCCTCATCATCTTCAACAGCCCAGTGAAACTGTCCGCCATTGTTGCTGGCTGGCTCTGCTCCATTCTCTGTGCGTGAGCTTCCAGTTGCCCAAGGAGACTCAAAGTTGTCTTCTTGCTTGATGACAGGCGAAATGGCCCTCATTATTGTGGGTGAGTCTGTTCTCTGCCTCTTGGGGGAAACGGTGGATCCTCTCGACTCGGGCTGCTCTGTGCCTTCCTCATCCTCCTCATCCTCCTCATCCTCCCCGTGGATATCTGCCATTTTCCGCTTCCCCGGATTGCCCGTCGCCGGCGCTTGGTCGTACTCGTCTGGAAACCACGCTGTGTCAACATCCGCCTCGCCGCTCATCTTGACGGCAACCAGCATGCGCGTCTCGTCGGCCAGACTCTTGCACCGTACCATGTCGGTGCGGGTCATGCCCCTGGCCAGGCCGCGCTCGAAGCCGGGCAGAGGGTCCCCGGTCCGTACGTCCTTGCCGGACAGCAAGCTCGCGAAGCAGTGGTCCAGCTTGCTCAGAAGGGCAAAGGTCGGGCGCGGGGAGGCAGGGAAGGCGGGGAGGTACTCGGTCATGGCGAGGGCGATGTTGAGTAGGTATGGGACTTGCAGACTCGCTAGAAGCCAACACGTGAGCAACACACGGACACGTTGTGGGGGAAAGTGGGCCGACGCAGCAGGGCAAACACTGTCGCGCGTTCTACGTACGTGTGCCAGAGAACCAGAGCACATCCACGACCTGGTCGAGATCGGCGCACACCTCGTCGAAGCTGCTGTAGGCGGCGACCAGATCGGCCGGGTCCGGGATGCCGTGCTTCTTCACGTAGCGGCGGGATATGTGCAGCAGGCGCCGGCCGACGTACTCGCGGGCGTAGTCCTCCTTGCGCGAGCCGGGCAGCAGCGGCTTCGACCGGGGGTGCGGGAGCCCGGCGGCGGCACGGGTGGATGCCGTGCTCGGGGCGGGCGAGGGGAGCGGCGGCGGGAAGAACCCGCCGGCGCTGGCATAGCCGGGGGTGGTGGCGTTGTTGGCGCCGTCGCCGGCCATTGTTCGCCAGGCCAGGCCAGGCCAGGCCAAGCCAAGTGCTGAGAGGGAGAGGAACCGGGGGCCGTCGGCTCGGCGAGGTGGGTGGGAGGCGAATGGGTCAAGAGGTATTGGTCGGGACCCTCATAGCACGCGGGAAGACTTAAGCGCGCGGCTTGGCCATTGTCGAGACGTGAGCGCACAGGACAGGGACAGGTTGGGACGGCCGAATGCTGGCGTGAGTATTATCGCATTTGTAAAGGCAGGGGAGAGAGTATGAGAAGGTATACAAAAGGTGTATAAGCCGGCATAGGCGGGTCGTCGGGCAGCCTTGTGACGCCATTGGGGCCGGGGCCCGCTTTCGATGGCCCGAGCTGAAGCTTGAACCTCCAGTTCCCTGTCAGCCTCGCGCAACTTTTTCGTCGCCGTCAACCCGGAACGCTTCAGTAGTCAGTCCACCACCACCACCACCACACGTCCAAAGGCTCCATACACCCATTCTCTCTCCGCTCGCATCTCGCATCTCGCATCTCGCACCTCGCATCTCGACCAAGAACCAACCCCCGTCGTTCCACCCTCCCAAGATCAAGATGCCCGCCCGTGTTCGCTCCGCCCCGAAGGGCACCTTTGGCGCCGCCTACGAGACCATCACATCGCCCGAGAATGCCGCCGTCGTGAGGAGTGTTGCTGTGTTCGGTGTATGTATTCGAGCTTGACGTTGATGCCATGGATTGAGTACTGACAGCCCCCTCCAGGCTGCCGTCGCATTCCTGTCCAGCCCCTGGGCTGAGTTCCTTCTGCCTCCGTACGTCTTCTCTCAGGCGCATCCCCGCGCTGCTCTCGCTGCACCGCTGCCTTCTAACGCGCCCCTTTAGCATGTAACGACCTGAGATGCAGTCGACGCAGCGATGACGAAACGAGGGTGTGGGCGTGTACGATATGCGGTAATAACTACTTGTACACTAGGCCGTGGGGTTTGCACGGCGGCATAAATGCATATATATGGTCGGATCCGTAGTCCGTACTTTGGCGCGCCATGGAAATCAATCTCCCTCTTCGAGACAAGCTTTTTTTCTCTTCATTCGCTTCGATAGAGTTGTATGGACGGCAGCACAAACAGTCCTCGACGCACTTGGCCTTTCTCATCGTGGAACGCACCGTCGAGGTCCACTGTTCATTGGCCGGCGACCTTTGAATCGTGCGATTTCTGGAGGCAACATTTCACATGCCAGACTCTCCGCTGCCAAAACAGTGTCGGCTAGTTCAAGGGTCTTTAAGCGCTTTCAAGTTCATGTGAGAAACATATCATATTGAATTCTATCTGAAGACGTGAAAAGAAAGGTGGTATCCATTAATGAATAAAGACATTATCTTCAAGACATTACATTATCCAGTGATTTCTCCTTCCCGACCATCGCCTCATTCTAAATATTTCATCATTACCTTATTATGTAAGTAGACGGAAAGGAAACCCATCGCAATGCTCATCACTCAGGGCTTGAACAGCTGTTCCTTCCGGAAGAACACGAAAAACCCAACGCAAATAGCCAACTGCATGGCCAACGGCACCCAGAGCCAGACATTATACACCCCGTCCCACAAGTTCATGGGGAGATTTGGAAAGACTGGTCCTGGCCCAGTCTTGTTGGGCGCCGATGCTCGCGCTGCGATGGTGAAGAGCGATCCCAGAACTTGTGCTGCCACAATAGCGCCAGTCATGTGTAGTCTTGTCAAAGTCTGGAGGAGCATCATGCCGAAACCAACGCCCTGCATCGTGTCCAAGACTCCAAGCCAGAGCCACAGGCAGCGCCCCAGGAGTGCTCCCGCAAGGTCAGTCGAGCCGGGGCCCCAGGGGAGGTAGAGTCCCATCCCCGAAGTGCCCCAAAGCATCTGACACCAACGGGGCGCCCCCAGGCCGATGGCGAACAAGGGCAAAGCCCACGAATGCTCGCGAGAGATTTTCGCGAACACGGCCAATACCGCTGCCCACACCACCACGAAGAAGAAGACGGTGAGGACCGCCACTGCCCATGCTGGTGCGATGCTCGAGGACCACAGATACGTCCAGCTGCGCCCGTAAGGCGCCGACAGCCAGTAATTTTGAATGACGACCACGACGAAGAACCAAACGACAACCTTGCGCCGGAGGAGCGATTGGTAGAATGCAGGAACCTCGCCGGGTTTAGTCCGGTAGTAGTCTGGTAATCCAACAAAGAGAAGTGCGCCGACCACCCACATCAGCACGGCAATGGGGACACCGATGGCCGTGACGATCGGAGTGGACGTGAGCATGCTGCTCGTCGTCACGCCGCTGTTGGTCTGCGACGAGACGTAAGAGCCCCAGTACCACAGGGCCGCAATGTAGATCTGCTGGGTGCCCTGGATAGCACAGGCTCGGAACACCCAAGTCCGCACTGGCGTGCCGCCCTCACTGCCAAAGTTCTGGGTGAAGAACACGAAGCCGCTGGCCGAACCCACGGCGTAGAGACCGGAAGCCACGTTCTGGATCCAGGTCGTCCCGTTCGAGATGGTCGTGTAGGGCGTCATCCCCAGGAGGAAGAAGGCCAGCCCGTAGAAGACGAAAGGCAGGGAGAGCGCGAAGACAGACCGCGCGGTTCGGAAGAGAACCCACCAGGCGATGGAGGCGCCGAGGAACACGGACGAAATCACGTACAGGCGCTCGGCACTCTCACCGTTCTGGCCTGTCAAGAGCGTGATCTGGTACGAGTTCGCGGCGATAATCTGACCAAAGGCCACAAGGAAGGCGTACACAGGCCAGTCCCCCACCTTGGCCTGCAGCAGGCGTTTCACACCCTTTGGATGTACATGGTCAGGGCTGAGATTGAACTGGTCGAGACTCCCAGTGGAGGTTGAGGTCTTGGCTTCTGCTTTTCCGAGCTTCGCGTCGTAGAAACGTGCGAACCATTCTTTCTCGCTGTGGCGAAGGTATTCCTCGACGCACAGTTTGTCATCTGACAAACTACCCTTGTGGTCCTTTAGCCGAGACTCGAATGCCGCGTAATATTCCGTGGTTGGATCGGTAAAAAAGGGGTCGACGTTCTGAAGCTTGAAGTCTTTCCGGCCGCCAATGATCGTGTCCAGAGTGAGCACCGAATGGTTTTGGCTCCTGAGCGTTTCAACCAACGGATGTGCTGGCTGGCCTTCCGCCGAACTCCCCGACAAAGTCGAGGAAGTATTGGAATCATCTGCAGGGGGAGCCGAGGAGTTGGATGGCCTGTTCACATCTTGGTGTGGTGGCTCCGCCGCATCCTCGTCCGTGTTCTTCTCGGTAAGTTCAGCCAGAGCTTTGAGTCTAGGTCCAAGCATCTTCGAGATACTTTGCATCCCCTTGAGCCGGGAATGGGTTGGAGTTGAAACTCCTGAGTCAAGTGATGAAGACGACGTAACCCTGCTTCGCGTTGGGCTTGGTGCTCGACTGCCCACCGTACTTGAAGGAACAGTCGAAGGTGCCGTCCCTGGAGCAGTCGTAGGATTTGAGCTGAAGTTTCTTCCGTACATGGACAGAGTGGGTGTCGAGTACCCCGTACCGGGTGGCGAGAGTGGGAGCGACAATGAAGAGTGTGCTCCATTGAGAACCTTGGTGTGCATTTCAATGGATGTGGTTTGTAGGATCTCCAGATCTTTGATCCACTGGGCCACAGGGAAGCGCTGAAGAGAGGAGTGAGCTCTCATCGAATCTCTTGTTTCATTGGACGAAGCTAGAGCGGTCGATATTGCTGACTTGAACTGTCGAAGGAGATGTTTCGTTTCGGTCGATTCGATGGTATACCACCATCCGGGCATCTGCCCGAGGCCGCCGACTCGGGACCCGACACCCAGCGCGCCTTTCCGGCCAAACTCTACAGCAACCAGCCCAAAAGGCTCGTCGCGAGATGGGATCAGGGCAAAATCTGCCCCACTGAAGAGGGATGGCGGAAGTGCTGTGAACACCGGCTTGGAGCAGACGCGGCCTTGGTATCGCTCCATGATCTTCTGGAGCTTAAGCGCTGCGAACTTTCCATAGAGATCAATGACAGGGCCGACACAGATCAGCTGTACGTCTTTGTGCTTGTCTAAAATGGCAGGGAAGACATCAGCAATCAGGTCTACACCCTTCTGTTCGGACCATCGGCCGACGAAAACGAATAGTTGAGCCTGGGCACTGTTAGGATATATCACCCAGCACTGGCTCCAATCAGCACTTACTTCGTCATTCACGTGCAGGCCAGCCCACTGCTGCGCTTGCTTGCGGAATTTCTTCCTTTCTTTCTTCCTTGCTTCCTCCGCCGCCGGGTCGATGACTACTTTGTGCGGATTGAGGAGTTCCTCGCTCAGCTCAGCCGTGTCAGCGGGATCAGGATTCGGCAACGCGCCAATGTTCGATAGGCCCCAAAAGATAGGGTATCGTTTCAATGCTCTCGTGCCGTACTTCTTAGACACTCCCACTGCACCAAAGCCTCTCTGGTGGACGCGGAGGTAGCTTGCACCGGCGTGGAGCAGGTTGAACACTTCGCCAAATTGCACGTACCTCTTCACAATGTCCTTGGGTAGGTTGAAGACTTGGGTGATCTCGTGCATCTCTGTTGCGTTCCTGATGGGCCACAGGCCTTGGAATTCTGCGTTGTGGAGGGACAAGGAAACAGGAATAGTTCGCGGCAGCAGATACAAAGGAGCGATCGCGCCATGGTAGTCGTTGATGTGATACAGGTCAACGGGAAAGCGCTTCAGAGCCTCGGCGATGCAAGCGTTCCAGGCAGAGTAGTAAACGGCACTGTCTAGATCGTCCATGCGTGCAGGGTACGGCTCAGCATTCGTCTGCTGGCGGAAAATAGGGGCATCCAGAAGGACGAAGGTAATGTTCCGAAGATAGTGGTACTGGACGTCCACGTCGTACTGGGCGCCATTGATCGTGATCGACATAGGCTCTGCCACTGTATCGACTGGATACTCGACACCACCAACGCATGGAACTACCCAGATGAGGTTTTGATGACCGAGTGCCTTGCCCATGAGAGAAGCCATGACGCCTAGTCCGCCAATTTTGATCTTGATGGCCCAGTCCTCGATTTCGTACTCCATCGTGGCAATCAACACCGTCCGGCGATCCTCGGAGACTTCAGCGGCTGATGATGGGCTGCCTCTGAGGAAAGTAGCAACACTGGCCGGTAGTAGCTTGAGCATCCCGGTTTCAGGTGCGATGCCCACCTCATTAAATTTGATGTGGTAGTAGGATCGCTTGAACACCCAGATTGCCCAGAATCCAGTCAGGGGAGGGATGAAGGCCATAAGTATGAACAAAACCAGCTGGTGGTTGCCGGACCCAGTCGGCTCAAATGAAAAGGCGTAATTGCCGTCATCAACGACGACTCGCCAGGCCATGTATGGCATTCCTGGCCCCGTTGTCACGTTGATGACATTTTTCGAGAGTGTATCTGGGTGCAGCCAGTCCAGTACACCATCACCATCAACATCGCCGTATTGCATGGTCTTATCCGGGCTTCCGTCGGTATCCATACCCCATACGTTAATGGTTGTCTGGGTTGGCCACTCGGCAGCCAGGTCAAACATCCAAGTACCATTCCCTTGCAGTGACATGGCACTGGATAGACCATCATCATAGCCCCAGGTGTTCCATGCGCCCAACACGAACGCATGAGGCCAGCGCCGGACTAACTGGCTAGGATTCAGATCAGCGTGCTGCAACTGGTCGCTGCTCGCAGACAGCCGACCCCAGTACTGAACAATAACATGCTCTCCTGCCCACTGCTGAGATTCTGTACCAGACCAGGCTTGATGTTCCAACGTAATATTCTGCCCATCAGACTCCATCCAAGAACTCCAGCTGGAGCCCCAGGTCCTCGAATACCGCAGCTTGTCGGCACCGGCAGCCTTGGGCGAGATGTATAATTCCCCTGTGGACGAGTCTTGGTGTAAAAGAGTGCGAGTGTAGTTCGCGGAGCCTGGAAAGACCATAGGATTGTCTGCGGCACCAAGGCGGAACATGAAGCGATCATTCGCGTTTGTAAAAGTACCATTTTCCGATGACGCATTTCTCGTAGTTACGGCATGAATACCATGAGACACATTTGCTAGAGAGGCCGAGAAGACCCAGGAAGTGGCTGGCTGACCAACAAATTCTGGCGTGTTCCCGTCGACAGTGCTGCAAGACACGCTCGAGTTGACCAGACTGGGGGTGATGCCGTCCTGCGTGGTAGATGTGAAGACGAGACTGTCCGCTACGGAGTTGCAGTCCATTGGCACAGAAAAATGTATCTCGATCGGAACCGACTGCTGTTGCCCCAGCTCCACACTTGCCAAAATCCGGCTGTCATGAGATGGAACAAGGCCGGTGATGGTCGGTGCTGGATCGGTGAAATTTCCCTTGGGAACAAGGGCTTTATAACCCCATGCAGGCATTGTAAGGTTGGACAAGCAACCCGTCATCCCCGTCGCACCATCCCGCGTGTAGGCCACTGTCGAATTACCCAAGGTATATTCCTCGTATGGGTAGAATAAGTTCTTGACCACAGTGTTGGAGGCGAATGGTGAGATAAGAGCCAGGCTTTCGTCATCGCAGTCAAATGTAAACTCTCGGGTTGCATTCTCATTGCTAAAGACAAGCCAGACACCAGAACCGGTGCTTTCCTGAACACCGGACAACATTGATCTGTAGACGCTCCAGATTCCAGTAGGCGAAGGCGTACCATTGCTGCCCTCGAGGTATAAGTCATTGGTCTGGCTGGACAAGGCTTCCAGGTGGTAACCATCATTCAGCGTAGGGTACTGTTGTCGCAACTCGTACATTCTCTTGATGATATTCCGCACAGGATGGGATGGATCCTTATGGTCTAAGCTGACATTGTCATCGTGACACCCTTCGAGTGCAGACTCGAGGGGGAAAACCACGTAACTGCTGTCTTCTAGTGCATAACACCCGTGAATTTGCCAGGCACGGCTGGCGCTCATGGGTTGTCGTCCGTAAACATAGTTTTCGGCAGTGCTGTCAACAATGTAGAAGCTCTGCTCCTCGCCCCAATATAGAGCAGGCGCTCCCGGCATCTCAAGGACCGTGATGAACTGGCCTAGTATTTGACGTTGGATTCCATCCTGAAGTGAGGGCCACCGGAAGACATCCTGCGTTGTCGTGCCGAAGAGGTGTCGAGGATCGAATTCTCCGGTGTTGGCATTGACGAGGTCGTTTTGCTTGGTTATATTGGCCCAGAACGTCGTGAAATCAACTCCCTGGTCGCCAATTTCTCCTGAAAGGCTATAGGCTTGTTAGTGAGCAATATCGAAAACAGAGAAGGCAGCCTACCCAAGGAAGCGTGTGAGGGCTCCGTAGATGCTGTACTGGAAGGCAGCTCCGTCAAGCGCCGTCAACCCAAAGTCGCGGACGTATTCACTCGCATCTGTGGAGTTTGATGTGATAACGGCCTCGGTGAAGTTCGTCAAGTAATGGTTGGGTTGCTTGCCGCGTCCGAAGTAGATGGCAGCCTGCGCATCTGTCCCAACGACTTCGCCAATCATCAAGAAATTATCTTTGCCATATCTTCTGGCGCATTGACGCTGATACTCGGAGAACTCTGCCATGGCATCGACGCTGGTTTGGAGCGCCTTGTCCATTCTGAAGCCGTCAAGATCAAACATGGCAATCTGCATGCAGGAGAAGTGCTTGATCTTTGCGAGAACGTCGCTCCGCCATTCCCGGAGACGATCTTGGACTGATCCATACTTTGATAGCTGCGTTTCGTACACTGTGAAAAGTCAGTTATCTTCTTTGAAATGGAAATGTCAATGCTGGTATATTAGGACTCTGTGTTACCAACACATGGCAGCGACTTGACGCGTCATTCGTGGGTGTTTGCGGTGAAGACTTGCCTGAGAAATGCCCTGTGCTCTGCAGATCACCATACATGGAAAACTCGCTATCACGACATCTAGTCTCATTGGCGTACACGCTAGTCAAAGGGTACCCATAATCATCCCAGAACCTAGGATAAACACAAGACTCATTGACGGCGTTGCCGGGCTGGAAGTCGAGATATCTTCTGTCTGTCTTCCATACGTAGTCGTATTCATCCCAATTGAAAGGCGTTGTTTCGTTCAAGTGCCCTTTGAACCCCAGAAGGTCGCCCATCGTGGACATGGTGTTATCAAACAAGACGTACATGCCTCGTTCATGTATAGCATTGATAAGCTCTCGCCATTCATCAATGACGCCATGGTGGTGATCTAGAAGTGTGAAGTCAAGGGGACTGTATCCATCAGGGATCCAAGGCTGGTTGATGAAGGGCGTTCCCATCAGATAGATGGCCTTGATGCCCATACCACTGATGTAGTCAAGATCGTTGATCATGCCGCGAACATCACCTCCGAAGCGGAACTGAGTGCTCATCCAGTCATGCTCGAAGGCAGTGCCATTCGCCTCGTCGTTGGTAGGGTCCCCATTAGCATATCGATCTAACGATACTGTGTAGAAAGGAAACCGCCAGTTGCTTGGTGAAGTGGTGTAGTTGTGTTCTTCCCATTCTCCCCAGTAGTGTAAAGGGTCTGTCGCTGTACTGTTCTGGTTGAGGTTGTAGTCGGACTGGGAGCTATCGTATCGTAAGGCCGTGACAACAGTAGCCAGGACACTGGCTAGTGTCCAGTACCGGATATGAAAAATCATCGTCAGAGGGCTGTATGAGGACGACAGAGAGACAAGGTCCCCAATGATCAACAAGCAGGGAGGGCTTTCGATGAGATATAGTAAGTCGAGCCTCACCGCTCGGGCCTTCCGTCGCCGCGAGTCGTAGCAACGCAACTGTCCTTAGATGTACACATCTGCTTCTTAGATCGCAAAGATTGATACTTCTAGACGGAAAGCTTCTGTTGGAATCATGCTGCAAGGATCACCATCGAGTTACTGCGAGAATTTCATTGACGTCTCTCTTTGGGAAATCGGCAATTGTCCTTGCAACCCTACCGCATCTTGTATGTCCATGTCTGGATGGAGCAAATCCCCTTGTTGACGGCGTTTCTCCATGTCTAGTGGGACTACGATATTGGAGGGCAGCTGAACGGGGTTCTTCCTCACGCATCCCTGGGTGCCAGGTTGCCGGACTACCTACCTATCTACAGGGATAAGCGGAACAAGAGCACATAACTTAGCGTGATGTTGTGGGTCTGCCCTATCTTGAAGAAGATATCGTAGTTGTAACTGGGTAGGTATACTTGTTCGCGGTTTTGATCGATCCGGTTAGTGCATCTCGCCGAGAAAGCTCCAGAGCGTGGATCATGTACACAGTGGTTCCCTTGTCACTCTCCCGGTCGTGGACCTCGCATGATACTCCACGGCGATGCCAGTATCCATCTAATAGCCAATTCGGCAACTGAGAGGATGTCTCAGTGATATCCTCCAAGGTTGGCCAATATAGTACATACTATACCTACTTTCTGTGAAGGCAGTTGCTCTGCTCGACTCTTGCGAGAACGAGGCTGAAAGGAGTATCCTGTAGGACGGTAGAATTGAGCGGATCCAGGGATCTAGGATCGTTGCCTCAAGCGCCCCTGGTATAAGCCTTGCCCATCTTTAGTAACAGGTCTCCAGCTGTTCGGCTGTAGCCCCGATTATACCCAGAGGGCCCATATATCAAGCCTGCCAAGCCTTCTTGGAAATGCACGTACCCAATCCTCCTTCTCTTTCAAAAATGTGCACCGATAAGAACCAGCGAAATAAGATGCGGTGCGATGTGACCCTGCATATGAGGTTCGAATACCACCGCCGTGCATGCCAGCACGACGGCCCAATTGTTGAAATAGCGTGGAGGGTTGCATTGTTGACTAACCCGGAGATGTGCGTCCCTGATTGGTCCAGGGCGGCCTAACTGCCGGTACTACCACGCTTCAGGCCTGCGAGGCTCTACTTAATTCGGTCAATCTAGTGCGTGAGCGCCCTGTGGCGAGCTGGATGCGGCATCGTTTGCAACCTTAGCTCTAGCCCAGCCCGAACCGTGCAACTCCCGTGCGTCCGCGCAAGGTGCCCCCCAAACGAGACTCGCTCCCCATTCAAAGTTTGCAAGAGCGCACCCGGCCGAGTTCTAACATACCAAGGTGCCATTCAACAGAAAAGAATGTGCATAATGACGGCTTCACAAATTTTCAAATGCCTGCGAATGTTTCCCACCTCGTTGCACTCGAGCTGCACTGTAACTTGCCCTGGTTTGGGCGGCGTCATATGTGCGCTGCTATGACACGGACATGATATCCTTCACGCTTTTGAAGGCGAAGATTGCACGAAGGGGCGGACACCGGTCGCTGAAACTCCCCCATGCTGATTGGCAAGAAGAGGGCACCTATGTACAGAGTAGTTACTATGGTCCCTGCTTGGAACCATATCTCCGGCTGCGTGGGGCTGTCCGCAAGAGTGGGTGGATTGGACGGCGGCCTGGCCGTCGCCCACGCGTACATCTTGACTGGTCTAATCGCATTGGCGGCTGTCGTCACGGATCCGCGCAACCTGGCTTGCGCAATCCGGCTTGATAGCTATCATGTTGTTACCAACGGGCATCGCGATAAGCAGTCGTTGCGGTTATGGGCGCAGCCGCGCAAGGCGTACCCCTTTTCTGTGATAAGAGTTCATAGTAGAGGTCGTGTGCCAGATTGCCCAAGCCGTTGAACGACACTGCGCTTGTAAAATCGTCACATAATCTTGTCAATCACGTAGAGTGTACACATTCAAGGCACAGCGCACAATTCATGTCACTCGCGGTTGACAAGGTACAGTACCGAAAATGTGTCTGACAATGAACCAGGTTGCACGCTGTCAGTTGGCAACTACCCGCTGAGCCTGTTCGGGGTTCGACTAAAGAGGGGCGACTTTGGTGGTTGAAATTGCTCGACCCACGATTTCGCCGATGCAGCAAAGTTGGAATGCCAACTTTTCAACATCGCATTTTGCCGACTACCGACGTGGTGTAACTGTGTCCATATTAGAGTGTCTGGATATTGCTTTGGTCTCCCCGAAGTTACCCTTTCAAGCTGGTTGGCTATCTAGTCAGACTAACTTTGTAACCTAATACTATGCGCAACTTTATACGCTTACTTAACAATGCTGTACCCGTTTTTAGAAACGATTTCAATTTTCATGATAAGATTTTATTAGCTCTCACTGAGGAATAATAGCAGCCTGAAAAGTTTGAGGCTAGAGGGTAGAGTTGTATCAGCTTGTTTCGTTTAGCTTTTCAACGCCTCCCATTCACCCTCCAACATCGAGTATAATAATATGTCCCACCATTTGCGCTCATGAAAGTGACATTTGCGACAACGTCCTTCCATTACGAACCCGAGTCTTTCGTACAACCTCTTCCCGCGGTCATTGTACTCAACGCAACCCAGGCCAACGGAGTGTATGTTAGCTCTCTCGAATGCCCAATCTAGGGCCCAGCGAATTGCCTCGCTACCGTATCCCTGGTTCTGGTATGAAGGTGCGATTGAGATCTGAAGCTCTACCAGTCTATGATGATGTCGATAGCGCTCTCCAGCCACATCGTCCAGGTTAAGGATGCCGATCGGAGTAAGCTTCTCCAGGATATCCGCGTCCTGCGTCGTTGTGTTTTGTGGTGGAAGGCAAATGAAAACTCCAAGTAGCCCTTTCTGAATGTCCGCCAATTTGGAGTCGCTCTGGCTTCTGGTTTGAGGTCGCACCACGCTCGGGTCAAACAAGGAAAACACCGCTGGGTCAGACTGGATTTGCGTGTGGAACCATTGTCTGTCGAAGTCTGTATCCTCTACAGCCCGGTAGTACAAGCGCTGCGAGCGAAATGCGTTTGGGGAACTCATGGCTTCTAGGACGTGTCGGAGGTTTGGGAAATACTGCAAGTCTTTTAGATATTAGGTTCCACAAGTATGCAGTATATTGATGAGCCCGTAAACGAGGTCTGCGCGAAGCAGGGTCAGCTATATATACATTGGGGCCAATACGCCAAGCAAAATAAGAAGTGAATGTTGTCCACCATGGCTCCGGTACTGGCCGTCACATTTTGGCTTCCATGTCTGGTAGCTTAACTAGTGACTCATCGGCGTGTAAATTCTTGACGTTGGACAATGTGAATGAACTCTCTAAACAAGTTAGCTTGGTGTCACACCGCGAGCTTCTCACGCTACAAGTATAAGCCGTGTGAGACTGAACACTCAAGTATAAGACGACGAGTGAAATCTCAAATTCTCGCTACTAGTGACTAGAGCAATAGTTAGCTATGCAGCCTCTTTTTGTTGATTGGATATGTTTTTGTGCCATGGAGACCAAGCTAGGCGCACATTTACAGTTATACATATCTTGAGGGGTAGGCCGGGCTGGCGCTAAGTAGTCCACAACGCATTTCTTGTGCTGTGTCCCAGTATACCAAAACAGCATGCTCAGGATTGCGAATCATGATTCCGAATCTTGAATCCGATTCCTCTCAATGATTTATAAAGCATTCACAAACCTGCCTGGCGTTTTTTGTAACCATCTGGCGGTGTCTGCAGCTGCGCATCAAGACTTTTCGGCCACATTCCTAAAAGACGACTCAAGTGAAAGAACCATGGTGCATGTATAGTTTATCTAATCAATGAGCATCCACTGGAGGCGGGCAATCACAAGTATGCTCGCTTTCACATGTTAGATGTCAGTAAGCGCCCGCCAAGGAGTGCGGCAGACAGTACAATTACGCGAGGAGAGCATTACTGAATGATATTTATTGATCTTTACCACGCCTGATGAGAGTAAGGGGAGGGACAGACGGGTTGTTGTTCCGGGGAGCCAAACCCAGAGCCAGCCGCTTACCTTGAAACTACAGTATTGTTGAAATTTTTTTTTTTGGGGGGGGGGGGGGGTTTCCTTTTATTTATTTCTTTGCCGTCGCAGTGAATTGCAACCTCCTTGTGAAGGTTGCAGAGCCTCAACACTGGTTGTGGAATAGCGCATATAGCGGTCTATTGATACCACCCTTACTCCGCACAGCAACATCTGGAGTTGTTGCTATGGTTATGTTGGACTGAGCACGTGTTAGATCTGCGCCGTGGCAGACTGTGGATCGTCCTTACTTTCATAAAGTTGAACCCCCGGGACTCTGTGCATCATCGAATTATGGCACGTCGCAGATTTGCATTGCTTGCAAGGCGGGTCTGGCGGGTTTGAAGATCTTTACTTCTTCGATGGCCGCAGCCCGTGATTGCAGACCCTGCGCCCCAGTTTCACGGTGCTCATTCTGATCTGAGCCATTCTCCGGCTCCATGACCCTAGAACGACACCCCGCATTGCGCTGGTAATCTCCTCGACGACCGTGATCGACGCGACTGATGGAAAGGATAAATCAAACTGCCCAAAGAAGATGCTCCTTATGTCTCACTTCAAGGGATTCGAACTTCAACATGCCATGCACATTACGAAAGTTGCCTCAATAGCTGCAGGAAGAGAGCTGCGCAGTCACCTTTCAAAACATGCTACAAATTGCTAACAATGCTCAAGGCAGGAGAATCCCGCAAGAATGGGTGGTGGCGGTAGCTAAGACTCTGCCCTCTGCTGGGTGCCACGCTCAGGACTGTTTACTTAACACAACTTGATGCTCAAAACTCGGGCCTCAAGGTGCTGAAAGGCTAAGTGAAAAGGGGTTTCTCAGCCAATGCCGCACAGTTCTGTGCGACTCCAGCCATGTGATAACTTCCAGTGTGGATGTCTCTCGAAACGCGAGGGACTCCAAATGGCCCCGGAGCACTGGCTTCTTCGAGACAACAGAGAACTTATTTCGGGAGAGGCCAGGGGCCACACCACCCCTGTACATTGGCATTTTGCGGCATGTTGACTGGCCAAGCCGCGAGGGCCACTCTATAACGAAACCAGAACAATGATATAAATGGTTGCTCTCCCCGCAACCCGGTTGCGCTTGACTGTTGAAGACGTGGTACTAGGTACTAGGATCATCTGTTAAACCCCATCCAACACCAGGTCAACGTGGTGTTCCAGCCCGACGGTTCCGCTACAATCAATTATCACCATGTTCTTGAGCGCGTATCTCGCCGCAGCGGCTGTGGGCATCGCCTATGCTGCACCCGTTACCATCGTCGAGGCGGAAACACCTAGTATTCAAGTTCGACAGGACGACAACACTAGCGCCAATGATTATGTCAATGGGGGATGCAAGGATGTCATCCTCTTTTTCGCTCGGGGCACCAACCAGTCTGGCAACATCGTGAGTCCTACTTGCTGAATTTGTTGATTTCTTCCCTCTCTCGGTACTGACAGTGCTATAGGGCGAGATGCCGGGCCCGGATCTTGTTGCGCAACTGAAGTCTGCGCTTGGATCTGACGTTGTCGCTGCTCAGGGCATCGAGTACGAGGCTGCGCTTCTCACCAACCTATTGGAAGGTGGCTGTGACCCGGCCGAGGCTGCAGACATGGCCAATACAATCACACAAGCCGCTGGGGCCTGCCCAGCTTCTAAACTGGTTGTCTCGGGGTATAGCCAGGGTGCTGCTATGGTTCATGCTTCGATCGAGAGCCTTTCAGACAGCGTGAAGGCCCAAATTGCCGCCGCGGTCACGTTTGGCGACACGCAAAAGCAGCAGGACGGAGGGCAGATCCCCAACTTCGACACGGCGAAGACCCTGATTCTTTGCAACGAGGGCGATAAGGTTTGCGAGGGAACCTTGATTATTACGGATGCCCACACAGACTACACTTCCAGTGTACCAACCGCCGTGACTTTCATTGAAGGCAAGGTTGCGTAGAGCAAAGACACAAGTTAGGATTGGGGAAACCATCGAACTTATATACTTATTTTAATTCTTATAATACAGTCTTCTCGTTGGTACTGTTAATCAGCTCGGTTTCGGCTTTTAGAATCTGGATTAGGCCGCATGCGGGTGGCGTGCTGCTCAAATGGTAGTACACATCAATGCTTTAATGTGCTTTGGGGGAATTGCCTAGTCCTTAATTAACTAAGCCCTCTTTTTCAATTAATCGAGGTACGAACACGGGGCAGGGGTTGCCCTGAAAACTGGGGACCTGCCAAATTTAAGTTGCTTTAGCATCTCGTATTCTTGGTACGGTACTCGTATTTGCCAGCTAATTTAGGCTTGTGATGCGGTGCCGCCGAGTCTCGAGACATTTATAAGTCTTAAGGTCGCGACAATTGTTAGCCAATATCCTCCTGTAGTATAGCAGCCCATAAAACACGATGAAAATGAGCCGCTATAGTTTACTCGCCTTCGGGGCGACTGTGTCAGCAGCTCTGATCGACCTGCCCGTCCATATTCAAAACACCTATGTGAGTATCAACCAGCAACCTGACCAGTTCAACATGCGCAATATCTCATCAGTATCAAATTGCAGTGCTCAGTAGATTTCGCGGTTGGCACGCCTGCGAAACCACACCGCCTTATGTTTGATACCGGATCAACCACGTCATGGATAATGAGCAGCGATTGCACAGCGAGCTCATGCAAAAACACCAGCGGTTATGCTCGGAGGTTTTACGATGCATCGGCTTCATCTACATCCGTCGAACTAGACTCGGCTTCAACAATTGGGTATATTGACGGCGACAAGCTCACAGGATTAGCAATGCAAGACGTTTTCACCGGCGAGCTGGGGGGGATTCAATGGAATCAGACTTTCCTTTCCGTCAACGAGAGCAGCTGGCAGTTCATCACCGCGGATGGCTTTCTCGGCCTTGGGTTCTCATCCATTGCTGAGAACCACACTGCATCTTTGGTAGAGACACTTCTATGGGCTGACCAGCTCGATGCTCCTCGGTTTAGTTTATACTATGGCAGCGACCTTCGCGACAATGGCACTCAAAACGGGGTCCTTACCATCGGCGGCAGCCATGAGGACACGTATGTCGATGGTAGCGTAGCGTACGTACCGTTGCGCAAGGAGGATCCGTACCAGCTGTGGCGCGCCGCATTGCGATCAGTCAACGTGCTGGTAGCCAAGGGGCCCAACTCGACGGTCATTGTGAACAATGGCCGCCTGCCGACAACCAGCGATCCAGCAGGCACTTACCCCGAATCCAACACAACATGGCCCATGTATGGTTCTGGCACTGCAGTCTTTGACACGGGAGCTGGCCGCATCTCTGTGCCGCCTAATATCATCGAACCGCTTTACTATAACCTTGGCTGGAACCTCACAAAGCTCATCAATGGACAGGAGCGCATGGAGTGCGAGCACCTGAACTCGACCTGGGCACTATCCTTCACGCTTGGCGAGGGAGACGTAAAGGATGATGTGACCTTTACCATCCGAGGTGACGAGTTCGTCGTACCAGGCCGACAGTGCATGCCGCCAGTCGACGACTCCCCTGCCTCTGGCTTCGCACTCATTGGTGCGGCTTTCCTGCGACGCCATTACTCGGTGTTCGATTTCGGGGCAACCAAGGTGGAGGATTACAAGCCGACACTCGGATTTGGAAGACTAAAGGAGGAGTATGACTACTTGACGAAATAGACGGAATTTGGGATGAATTTAGCGTATATCACGAAAATGACAAATCCATTGAAAACATGATGCATTCCGTTACACATTAGTTGAACCTTAGCATGTACCGCTTAGCGTAAGAACTTAGTAAGACTATAACGATATTAGAACTTTCACGACGGACAAATCTTATCACTAGAAAGCAATCATGGGCCGCAACTCGAAAGGCCGCAAGAACGATTCAGCTGACAATGCTGAGGAGATTCTGCCCAGGTCAAGGGAGAATTCTGGTTCTCAATGATCTTCAATGTACAGTCTATCTCTCTCATATATTATACATATAGTCACACTGGCTACGGGGCAGCTTGAGAATGGCCCTACTTAGCCAAAAATCGTTGGAACGCTTCCTGCTCGATAACGACGTTTCCAACAGCCCTCAGCTTCTTGCGACCCTCTTTTTGCTTCTCCAGCAACTTCTTACGTCTCGTGATATCGCTTGCATGAAGCTTGGCGAGCACATCCTTTCTGAAGGGCTTCAATGTCTCTCTTGCGACGATCTTCCGTCCAACCGCCGCCTGTATTACGACCTCGAACATCTGTCGTTGGACATGCTCCTTGAATTTGGTGACCCACTGCCTACCGAGGCGGTCAACCTGCGAGGAGTGGACGACGCGACTGATAACATCTACTGGTTCCTTGTTAACCAGAAGCTGGAGCTTGACCAGGGAAGACTGCTTCCACCCAGCGTCTTCGTAGTCCAGCGTCGCGTAACCTTTGGTGGCCCCTTTCAGTTTACCGAAGAGGTCATCAACGAGCTGAGCGGTTGGAATGCGGTACTTCAAAATGACCTGCATGCCGTGGAAGAACTCGATGCTCTCCTGCTCACCGCGATTAGCCTCGCACAGCTCAATCGCGCGACCAAGATACTCCTCGGGTAACGTCATGGTGGCCAGGACATAAGGCTCGTAGCATGTTGCGCCACGTAGCTTGTTGTCTTCAGGCTCGGGGAACTCGTTTGGGTTCTGAAGGATACTCTCCGTGCCATCTCGCCACACGACCTTGAACTGAACGGCGGGCTCCGTGATGATGATGCTTGCACCGTGCTCTTGCCGTAGACGGTCTTGGAAGACGGAGCAGTGGAGACTCCCAAGGAAACCTATCCGCCAGCCTGCTCCAAGTGCCTCTGAATGGTCTTTGAGAAGCGTAACGCTACGGTCGTTCAGGACGAGCTGCCCAATGCTGTCGGAAAGACGCTGATAGTCACCGGGGTCCGTTGGGAATGCGGCGACAAAGACCATAGGTTTTGGTTCCTCGAAGCCCGGGTATGGATCGACAATGTCCTCTGAGCCCACCGTCGTGAAGGTGTCTCCGATTTTGGCATCCTTGATCTTCTTCATACCCGGGTTGAAGAAGATGTACCCCACCTGACCGGCTCTCAAGACCGTCTGCGGTGTCTGGATCGGGTGCCTGATCCCGACTTCTCCTACCGTGTACTTGTTCCCGGTAGCAAAACTGACCAAGTTGTCGCCCGGTCTGACAGTGCCATCGAAAATTCGCACAAGGCATATGACGCCGCGAAAGCTGTCGTACCACGAGTCGACCAGCAGCATCCGCAGGGGTTTCGTCTCGTCGCCCTCGGGCGCTGGAATATTCTCAACAATGGCTGGAAGGAGCTGCTTTACGTTGAGCCCAGTCTTCGCACTGACACCAATGGCCTTGCTCGAGTCGAGCTCAAAAGTCGACTCGAGCTGCTCGAGGACCCGGGGAACGTCAGCCGCGTTCATGTCGATCTTGTTCACCACCGGGAGGATCTTTAGCCCTTCTGCGAATGCCAGGTAGAAGTTGGCGACCGTCTGGGCCTGCACTCCTTGGCTGGCGTCGACGAGGAGCAGGGCACCACCGCAGCTCGCGTAACTCCGTGTGACTTCGGCCCTGAAATCGACATGGCCGGGAGTGTCGACAAGATGCAGCAGGTAGTCCTCCCCTTTGTGGTTGTAGATCATGGTGCAGGTTTGCGCCTTGACGGTGATGCCACGCTCGCGCTCGACCTCGAGGGTGTCGAGGATCTGCTTGTTGCTGGACGTCGAGGATATGGTCCCGGTGATCTCGAGGAGACGGTCGGATAGCGTCGATTTGCCGTGGTCAATGTGCGCAACGATGCAAAAGTTGCGGAACCGGGATATCGGGATCGCGGCAATGCGGCGCTCCAGGTCGCTGGTTGTCGCCTTCGCCGTACTCGCATGGCTCCTCTGGACCAGCGGGACAGGGCTGGAGGGTCTGATCCCGGACGGTTGGGGGTGGTACGTGACGGGATCACCATGGCAATTCCGTGGAAGCCATGGTGATGTGAAGCCCTTGCTATAAGGTCGGCATTGGCGCAGCGTTGAGATACATGATCGCATGGAACGAGCTGACAGAGGCACCCTGCCACCCATTCATGCGACGGCACACTGAGAAACCTGGCAGTGCAGTGGAGGGAAGGAAGCTGTCGCGCGGTACGCTGGCGCTGCGGGCCAAAATTTCGAGCTCGGTTGCGCGTCGAGACGAGATGGGTAAAGCAACTTGTTGTACCAGTAGTGTCCCCCAAATGACGAGTGCTTATCTTATCGCCGACGGCCAGCACCGATTTTGTACGGCAAACTCGATACTGTCCAAAGTACATCCACACCCCCATATACCAAACTGTGTACTTTCGTCAACAGCGAATGAAGCATTGCGCCACAGCATCTGCTCCACGTTGTAAGCCATTTTGTGCAGGAGGAAGATTCATGTGGTGCAAGACTCGACATTGTGAACGAAGCCGGAACCACTTCCAGTAATACCAGTACTATCGATGTATGTCAAGTTGCACCAATTCAATGCAACCTAACCCCACGGCGAGCGAACCCCTTTGATTACGGCAGCATTATAGTTGCAGATGCTATATTTTGTGCCACCTCAAGAACTGCAAACCTATGTCTGCTGGTCAGCCGCACACCTCAGAAACTTGGCAAGGGCCTGAATGCTTGGCACCCGGCGTCAACCTAGCAGATCCGTCACTTGATAATGCGAGCTTGACGTGTCGGACGATGCGCAAACCGCTTGCTTGAGACACCTTGGACCCTACTAAGCTGGGAAAACATCCTCTCTTCAAGGCATCGAGATAGCTTACCTACCCATACGTAACGCTTTCCAGCCATAACTTTCAAGGTGGTCCTGGCATTGGACCCTCGTGGTCAGCAGAATCCTCTGCTACACATAACTTACTAGTGTAGCCCAGACTTCATCATCTTCCCAAATGATAGCTACCATGGTCGTATATCGCGCATCGATAACCACGGAGATTGCTGGTGAAACTGGCAATGCTGGAGACCGAGCCAATACGCCATCATATCCATTGCACCGCGATTCGCAGAGTTTTGGCTGCCCAATGACATATATCTGAGGAGCCAGCATTGCTGACCTACCAGGCTTTATTCGGAAAGACCTTGCTCACTGGAAGATTAGCAGCCCATTGCCGGAGCAAGTCCTGATGAGAGATTTGACCTCAACGAAACAACCGTGGGTCACAGAGAGAATAAGTGCGACCGACTCCACAGCATTTCAGCCATATGCGCCATGATTACTTTTTGATCTGACTCAGATTTGCGTAGCGTCACTACTGAGAGGAATGTTACCTACATTGCGTACATTGCCAAGCAAACGGAGACATCGGTCTACGTTGCCAAAACTCAGCCATGTCTTTCAAGGGAGCGTTCCATGGAGCACGGTTCTGTGAAGTGTAATCGCATTACTTGTGCTATTCAATCGTTTCCTAGGACCAAATTCTAATGGGAACCTTGAGTTTACTAGGCTTTGCACCATGATCAATCTTCAGATCTTGCTTTTTGACATATATTGCCTAACTTCGGGTTGAGTAATTTGGAAGGGTCTTTCATGATATGCTCATGCTACGAATACGAATCTGGAATAATGTTTCAAGAGGCTGAATTTCTTTCCTAATAGAAACAAGATCTCCTTCATTGATTGGCTTTCACCATAGATCCGTCTAAGAAAGGACTTAAATCGGCGAATGGGAAGCAGATCTGAGACCCCGAGACTCCGCTTTATGATGTTCTGATGTCAGATGGTAACTAATGTCATCTCCGTGACTGCTTACGGGCTTGCCGAGTCCTAGGCCAAGCAGGAATTGAACGCCATGAAGCAACATGGATGCATTCCGAATGGTTGGTCAAATGGAAAAGATCAGCGAAGGATTGAATCTATACGGTGTCACTTGCAATGCACAGTCGCGAGGCTGAGTCTATGCTACCCAACAGTTCTGATACTCGGAAACCCCGGGACCGCGGGATCAGCAGCCTTACTGACAGCGCTGATTATAAGAGCCAAAAGGAACGTGTGTTTTGCACAATTCTCAGTCTCAAAGCACATCTGAATCTACTTGCACCAATCGACTATTCTGCGAGATGTTTGCCTTCAAGCCCGTCGCCTTCGCCACAGCGCTGCTGGGTTTGGTCCATGCTGCACCAGCCGTTACAGAGCGCCAGGACATTATCTTATTGACCTTGTGTACTGACGCCAACCTTGGTGGATCATGCCTAGATTATCAAGGAACCCCTGGTGTCTGTGGTTAGTATTGGTTAGCAATGAATCCCTCTGACAGCTCACTAACCCCTGCATAGGCAACGTTGTAGGTGAATTCGACAACAGCATCAGTTCCCTTGTGGCTGGAACCGAATCACGCCCCTGCATCTTCTACAAGTATGTCATCTCAGTCCGTTGGTACAAAACTTGAGAGATTAACAATGAATGCACAGCAATCCCAACTGCGATCGGAGCGGCGGCTCAGTTACCCTTGGCGGAAGGCAAGATGCTCTTCCAGCGGGCTTTGATAACAGCATCAGCTCTATCGAATGTCTAGCCTGCCTGATCCCCGAGGGATGCCCTTAGCTCTTTGACGGGCACCTGGCTTCTTGAGGGTTGGAAACGTGCTGCTCTAGGTTACGTGGATATTTTTTGAACTGTCGGCTTGGGGGCACCGCACCGCTGGCGAATGTCGTTGCGAAGGGTATTGCACGAAAGGTTACCGGTCTGTTTACAATGCTTCCGATTCGCCTTCACTATCTTCTCGCCTTGACGAAGGCAGTAGTAAGCCATGTTCTAGCGCGGTCTGACCGGCTTCAAAACGCTCTAGTATATGATCAGGAAAACATGTAGCCTATTTCATGAAAATTTTCAAGCTACTACGAGGTGAAATAAAGTTGTAAGGAAAGGGCGTTGAAGAGGCGTTCCGTATCTACATGCTTTCGTCATTTAGCAGCTGATGAAGGCGCTTCCGGGCGATTTCAAAAAGTGGAATATCAGTATCTCGCAACTACCATAACAAGCTGTACATTGAATGTATTATTAATGCCCCGTTCAAACGTAGTTTATTTAGTGCGAGCATAAGCCAGAAAAGTAAGTATAGCAAAGTACACCAAGGGAACAAAAATGTTGCTGTAATTTAGTGATAAATGATTGCTTTGGTGTGATTTTGGATATACACATAAGGTTAGGTTGCTGTCATACTGAACATTGTAGCATGCCCGCATCGGAGACAACAGCAGTTGGTTTCTTACAAGTAATGTATCGTTTTACAGAAAATCACTAGTCGGGATGTGAGCAGTCATGTGGTGCGCCGCTCTGCTTACCATGGAGCGGCCTGGCCCGTGGTCTGTTCCTCCTTCCATATGACATGCAGCGATTCAATCTCGATAGAAACATCTTAAGACATGTCCAGCCTAACATGGGTACACCACCTTCTTTCACTCGAGAATACCGTTACACTTGAAGATTGCATTCACCCTCTTAGGGAAGCTCAAAGGGAAGCTCAAGTTACGACCCATCCTTGTTTCGCTATTTGTTCTTGTAGCAATTCTTATTGTCTCAAGTCGCGACTTTCAAGATGGCAGCGTCAAGCAAAAGTCCTGAAACCATAGCTATGATCCAGCAAAGTGAAGTGAGCGTACCTTGGTGCGATGAATTTGAGAAAATGATTAGTGGCATGCGGTAAGTCTTTCTGTGCGGCAACCCTCCACTTTCTCAACCTTGACGGCTTACCGGCCCTCGAGCAGTCCTCTTATTTCAAGAAAATCACTGATATCAAATCCTACGGCCATGTAGTTTCAAAACTTCCAACGACCAACGACTTGTACAGTACAAGGTCGCCGTTATGAGGAAACTCCAGTCTTTTAACGATGCAACAATTCCCAACGACGCTACGCTCGCATCACTGGCATCCCGTCGAATGATCGTGGCCAAGGGAATGCTCGGAAAACTTGGTACAAATGCGAATATTGAGCCACCTTTCTTCGTAACGTGGGGATGCAACATTTTCATTGGTGACAACGCCTATGTGAATCGCAGGTGAGACTGTTTTCATTAATAGCATTATAGCCGTGTTAAGCATTTTACTTGATCTCGTCCCAATACTGATGTTCCAGTCAGTGTTTCGATATATGACAACGCACCTGTGATTATTGGTGATCGTGTTCTTATCGGGCCGGACGTATGCATTTGTACGGGCACACATGATATTCACTGGCAGGCCCGTGAGGAGGCTAGTGGTACCTCATTTGCCTTGCCAATATCCATTGAGGCTGATTGTTGGATTGGAGCAGGTGCAATCCTTCTACCTGGTGTCCGCATCGGCAGAGGTGCCACAGTAGCAGCGGGAGCTGTAGTAGCGAAAGACGTTGAATCTGAATGTGTTGTGGGCGGTGTACCTGCTAAGTTGATACGAAGGTTGGGATAGCACGCATATAAATTTGTGAGCACAGGAGGGGTATTGATCCAAAATGCATCCTGCAGATCATAAAAGTGGCCACCATCAGGCATGACTCTTATATCTGCATATCTATACTATTCATGGTATCTTAATGCTGTGCGGCCACCCTTTCAGCCAGTAGCAGAGTCCCCAGCGCGTAGGATGTGAGAACGTGGCAGTACGGCCTCCGTGACATAGATTGTTCCATTACTCTGGGGCTTCAATGCTCGGGAGTCCAGTCCGACGGGTGTTCGAGGCAGATACTGTATGCTGAAGTCGATCTGTGAAAGGCCAGCGAGGAATGCGTGACATGTGCGCATTATCATCAAGGTCGCTGGGCAGTCTCCTGTCGTGAAAACCGTTCCCCTAACCAACCCGCAACGAAAGTGCTAGACGATCTCCGTTGGGCCTCAGTGCTGAGTCAGCATCTCGCTTGCCATTCCCTGCCTCTCTAATGCTCCTAAAGTCCTGGTTGGCAACACCTAAACTTCATAGTTGCACCATGCATCCCCCTTCCCATACTTGACTAGATAGGCATTTCACGCACTTCGCGTTTGTTCCGGGTGCCTCAGTTTTGACAAACAGGACTCCGATGAAACCAGCTCAACATAACTGACCAGTTATGTAAGATCAGAATATGCATGCTTGTTAACTATCAATCTTTAACCAAGAAAACCACAGCTCCTAGCAGTGATCCTATTATTAATGTTGTCAGGATACCCGCGCCTGCCCGATCAGCATTTGTTATTTCCCTGGGCTTGTCAAGCTTGCTGTCGTCGCTGACACCGCCATCCACATGGCCGGCAGATGTCCCGCCCGTGTTAGATGTAAACGGCGACATAGCAGAATCGACCAACATTGTCATGATCACGCTCATGGCATTTAGCTGTTCACCGACGCCTGATGTCTCCTCGTACGTTGAGTCTGCAAACCAACTAAAGGTACATGCAGTACCGGGGTGGCCTTTGAAATTGGAGGGTGAGCCAACACAGTGCTGAGCGGCTGCTTTGGCCGTGCTCTGCAACAATCCCATAACTTGGTCGTACGTGAATGGAGCGAGTTTTGCTGTGGCGGCCATCCACCGCGACAAAAGACCTTTGAATGTTCGTTGATCGTTGTTGCATGAGCCTGACGTGGTCTCGCAGGGGGGTTCCCACATGATGCCGCCCTGGAACATGGTCTTCGAGACGCTGTCGACCATTCCCTGCACGCGGGTTTTCCAAGTGTCCGATTCCGTGAAATTGTACATGTACGCGGCACCATGGAGGAAGATGCCTGCGTTATATGTAAACAAGGCGCCATTGATTTCCGTACAATTGGCGCCTTCTGCGACGCCCGCACCATCTCGAACAGTCCATTCGTCGTTGATGAATCCCACACCTTGCTGCCATTCAAAAATCTTAGTGGCCCAGTCTGCATATGTCGTGTTTCCAGTGAACCGGGCTAGTCGTGCGGCAATGTTGAAGAAGCAACCATTCGAGATGGAGTTCTTATAGGTGTAGCCGTTGTTGAACGTGTAAATCTGCCACCTTAATCCTCCGTTGCAGGAATCGCTAGCTTCATTCCACCGTTGGACATACTCGTTGAAAATAGCCTGCGTGAGACCCAACCAACCTGGCTCGCCTTCGGGAGGATTTTGGAAATTCAGCTCGGCAGCGGACATGGATGCCAAAGCCCAGAAGCCCTGGTCGTCATTCCCCAAGGCACGGGTCTGATTTGTTGGCATGTAGTCGTAGTCATCTCCTCGCTGGTGCCACATCGCCTGATAGGTGATTTCATTATAAGAGTCGTCTCCGGTAAATGCCCAATAGTCGAGGAGTGCACCGAACATGGCTCCCGCTTGCCACCCTGGTGTTGAGGTCAGCTCTTGGATCACAGGTTGGATTGAACCCAACACGAACAATAATACGGATCGGGCAAGTTCCCCGGTACATCACCAGTGTTGTTGCCTTTACAACGTCAGTCAATCTGCAGTCCTTCGCAGTCTCGAGGACAATACCTGTGTAGAACTTGACAGCTCCATATGCTATGGTAGCGGCGGCCTCCTTGACCGATGCTATTCCGAGGTCAGTACCCGGATGATCCGGGGTAAGCATATCAAACTCACCATCATTTGTTATATCCACATCAATCGCAGTGGCGTGAGAATTGAAAAGTTGGACCAGCCCAAGTAGACTCAAAAGATGCCACATCATGAAACACGCGGATATAGATGGTGCAAAAGAAGGAATGTTGGTCTCTCTATCGCGGTCAATCCTCTCACTGAAACCTTCGACCGCGCGAGGACAAGATAGACAAGGACGGCCGCTCAAAGAAAGTTGAACTGAAAACACAAAGAATGGGAATCTCGTCTTGAAATCGGGAATCCATGGACCCCACCCAGGCGAAAGGGGTACAAGACCATTGGCATGGCCCCAGTTGACTATACTTGGCGTTTGAAGAAAACCTACGGCGCAGATGCTCAACCGCGTGCGACAGCCTTGGCGACGTGCGATACGGCTGGGCAGCCAGCGGGCTCACCTGTGGCCAAGAAAGGAAGAGATTACGAGTGTGATGACAAGAGCACCACCAGCCACGTTCACCGGAAAGACTCGATTTCCAACTGCGCGCTCTAAATGCGCTGCTGGGCGGCGAAAGGGCCATATCCGCTCCACGCTTGATGGTAATGACCCCATAACGCTGGATCTGACTCTACTTGAGACCCTGAAGTTGCGGAGAGAAAAGGGCTGTCGAAATGAGTTGGTGAGTTGTACCACAGCTTGCGTAAGAACTCATTTGGCGCCAGGGTCTTGGAGCTCACTGACAAGAGACTAATTCTCTGGGCACCCGGGCTACTGGACACCAATTCTCGTGTCTCATCTCCGCAATTCTGCACAGCCACAGAATGCCAACCAACGCCAAGCAGACTTGACTTGCTACACGAACTTGCACTCGCCGTATCGATCCCTTGAGCTGTGCTCCCGGAGGTTCCGCCCCAACTGAAGCGGTATGATCATCTCCCAAGCTGTCGGATGGATCTCAGGTTCTTACCCCATGTCATAATGTGGATTACCATGTTTCCCCATGTAGTTCTCCCGTTCTCCACTTATCGGGTCGATGGGACCGAGCAATGCTGCAAGGTTGACTTCTTTAATAATCTCGGCCTGTGGCAATGCAATGCAGCTGCCAGAACAGAAGCAGAAGAGAAACCACACGCACGATGCGTATCATTCAAATGGTGTGTGTGGTATTCCGTGCGTGCCGACCCTCTGTCAAAAACACATAAGACCTATGGGTTCAATTCGACTTTGACTTTATATTTATTCAACTTTCGAGACGACGTTGGACCGGGTTTAGACTCACAAATGACTGCTTTCCTGAGAAGAATATGAACCTCGCCATGATGCAAAGTCTTGCACGGTGCATGTGCATGTTCGGCGCGTATCACTTCATGTAAGACGAGCCTCGCAAGCAAAGCAGACAATCGATATAAACTTGGCGTTTCGGGTACCTGCTAGGACATAACGGCCGCCTCGAATCACCACACGGAAATTAGTAGTCCTTTTGAGTTTGAGCACCTCTTTTACGTGATGGAATCGACGACGAGTACCCTTATAGCATGGGAATTTTGGTCTCGAAGTCTACCTCCCGGCAGGTCATGTGTATAGAGATTTTGCAACATAATCAAACAACATAATCAAAACATAGGCGAAATGCAACACAGCCGCGACGTTTGACCCAGACCCAACAGCAAAAATGGCACGGTGATCTGACAGACGACGCATGTTATATTAGTGCCATGATACGTCCGGCACATTAAGCCTAATCTAGGTCTTGTATACTTCTTCTTCGTCTCACTTTTGATTATTGTTCTTTTTTTAATTCCTCGCAGAAGGGCAGTCCCCTCACTTTGTTGGAATCAACATCTATTCAACATATACTTACTACTCTCTTTTTCGAGGGTATTTCACGGTCATAGGTCATGATCGAGCTTTGACAAGATTCGTCACAAAAACCCGCGATGGCTTGTGTTACTACATCGCAAAATACAAACATCAAGGTATATTGAAATCGCACGGTATAATTGCCGCTTACACGTGCCTTACACATGGCTTGTATAGCCTTCGTCGTCGCAGCGTAGCTATTGCAACTCAGCCCTCTTCGACCCCTCAATTTCGACGTATACGTGGTCCTGATAGTCCTGGAGTATCACTTCAGCTTAGTATCCTCAGACATAAAACTACTGATATCATTTGGTGTGTACATTACAAGACCGGGTGGATCGGAGATAGACTCGGTTAGAGCCTCACGCCCTACCATCTATCTAGTTACGACTAGACCTTGGCACAAAGTTCTAAACTTATTAATAACTACCTTGACCTGTATGGCACGTTCGACTTTGTCCGATTATCAAGGGGGCTTCCCTAGGTCAAACTATCACTGACAGGCCAGCATAGCAGACGCTGCAGAGGTTTGGCACTAACAAAGCAATCCATGCCGCTGTCAGAGTTCACTTTGATTGCATAGGCGCACGCTGATCGAAGGCACATTTATACAGAGTGCTCAGTCAGAATCCATGGAGTGTCGTTATGTTCAATCATCCCGGCAAGATAGTCCTGGAAAGTATTACCACAGCATGTGCCAGAGCCTCTTGGCAGTTACCTATCTGGTCAGTGCACAATATCATAACCACAAAATCAAATAGAAACTATATCGCGAATGGCCCACTACCGGCGCATGCTGAGCCAGGTAGTTGAGAAGTTTTCAAGCGACATTAACAGACGTTGGAGATGAATATAGCGTGGCTCTACAGCCAGCAACGTTGTCCAGTGTCTTGCTGATAGTCTGGATCATTGAACCAGGAAAAAGCACTTTTGGGCGCATGGAAGTGCTGAATACTTGACTAGTCATATTGGTCATATCACAAGAAAATACCGTTAATGCACTCCATATTCACTTGTGTACGGAAATACAATTAGATCTCCGTGGTACTGTTACCGTAGCACAAAAGGGCTGACACAACCATGAGCATGGACTTAGCCTTCAGCAATAACGGAAGTTATAGTCCGAAGAGCGACCTCCATCTTCTTCTTTACGGAACCAAAGCCTTTGAACGAAGCCGAAGATGGTTGAACCGCCACCAACTCGACTTCGTGGCCTTAGAAACAAGAGGAAAGCAAAGAGGTTGAGAATCAAGTGCGTTCAGTGAAAAAATAAGAGGCCGAAAAGAGATATTACAAAGTCACCAAGGCAGGAAATTGAACTGCACGTTTTAGGAATGCACCTCAGTTTTGCGGTCTAGGCTCGGCCGATTGTAGTGGAAAGATGATCTGCTTGTTGACATACATGCGTAAGAAGGTTACTAGGGCGTATCTCGTCTGGTATTGATCACATTATATCCAAGGGCACATGTGTCACCATCAAGTGGGATTTTACATGCGTAGATTGTTTCGTGGGAGGTAGTATACTGTGGAGTTCTTTGGGTGATCGCTCTAATCTAAATGTTCATCGCTTGGTGCTGAGCATGAGGCTCAGTCGCGACAATGTTCTCTTCAATTATCATTCGGTGTAGTCTGATAACCGTTCACGGATTACACAGCTTTATTAAAGACACTTATCGGAACTATCAAAATCTTGGTATCCAGCTTTGGACAGCTTGATAGATAAGTTCACATCATGACAACGCAATGACATGTTCCTGATTTCTTCCACAGCGAGAAGTGGTTTGATACGTTCGCTCTCTCATTGATCTCTACTATCACTCTTGCGGCTCTATTGCAACCAATAATGAGCCAAAGATTTGAAGAAAAAAATGCTATATTACATACAATGCATTTTTAAGTTTCTACACATTGTATTAACCATGTTGGAACGATGCTGATTCATGGACCGGTGTTGCAGTGAAATTTTCATCAGAATGTAAATTAACATAGATCTAACAGGTTACGTGAATAACCTTACATCCCTCTACCTTTGGTCGCACGGCTACTACGTTGAAGTCGTTTCATCACGACCTAGCTTTATCTACAAAAGCAGGCACACTTTCGCCGGGTATTTTATTCCTCTTCTTTACTCGATGTGCACTATCAACAAAGCAGATTTCGACACGACGAACGATCATTGCCCAAGAAAACACATAATACCTAAATCTCAAGAAATCAACTCCGTCACAATGCCAGAACAGGTTCGTGCCCACAGCTTCTCGTAGTATTCCTCAACAGCATACGGCCCTGCTTGATAGCTGGACTAATATCGTGATTTTAGGCCAACACTAGTAAGAAGCGCTCCCCCTCGCCGAAGGTTCGCGAAGCATCCAGGTCACGTTCGAGATCAAGTTCCAGGGGCCGTTCGCACAGCTCCCGGCCAAAAACAAGCTCGAAGCCGACTTCATACGCCTCGAAGAAGCTGTGGGAGCGCCATGTCGAGAAGAAGAAATAGGGTGGTTAGGATAGCATGAGGTACGCCATACGCAAAGTAATCTTAAAACGCGTTAAAGCGAGGCTCTGACAGAGAATCTCTACGTGGTTTTGTTGACATGAGTTGAACCATATGATATCTCGACAAGATTGTCAGCATTGTTGAGAAGCATTATGATTAAGTGAGTTTACATGTATGAGAGATCTAAAGCTCACGCCCCCGTCCAATTCTATGGTGAACTCCAAAGCCTTGACCCTCGTCTGTATGCCTAGTCTCAATGCACCGTTGACTGGCGAATCCAATAACCCAGGGAAATGATGGGGGGTATAATGCTAATTTCCGGCCAAGTTCCTGTAGAGCCATATCTTTCCGGTACACCTTGCCAAATCTAACCCATCGCCAGCCAAGTAGATCCTCGTTACCATCTAGCCCATCTGCCATCATCTCATCTACCAGTACAAGTTCGGAGTCGCCCCTCCCTCCAACTAATGAAAACACAGACCGCCTTCCCTGACAAGGACCCAAAGAAAATGGGAAACGTAGAAAGAAGAGAGCAATGCAATGGGGAGAACCAGAAATGCAAGCGGTGAACTTCCAGAAGCCTAAGGAACTGCAAAGCAGAAAAGGGGTAATAGGAAAGAGAACACGATGTGATATGCCGTTTGAGAGAAAAGGTCGCCTGACTGCCTTCAACACCCTCCTCCTGCGTCGCGCAAAGCTACGCGTGATCCACAAGCCTGACGTTCCCCAGCTGCACATGGTCGATTCTCCAGAGTGATTAGCCAAGTCGGAATTCAAGTGCAATGTTATGGCTTGGCAATGATGCAGGATGATGCAGGCAAGTTTCATCTGCATCTGTAAATGCAGAGGCTGCAGAATGCGTCGCATCGCTTAGAATCCATTGTTGGGAGGTCGAGACTCTGCAGACTGGTGGGTTGCGAAGGTATCAGAAAGACCCCCCGAGTCCGTCCCCGTAATGAATGTGTCGGGCATCGTGTGGGTCCGTACGCTAGTAGATTGGTCCAGTATGTTTGTGAGGCATGACAAAGGGGCATCCGATAGTGGTGACCGTGACAGTCGAGCAGGCAGGTGTTGGAGAGAATCGGATGGATCAGGCGAGATAGTGAGCGGAAAGCAATTTCCCGTAAGGCGCCGTCGAGAACCGTGGAAAAATGACCACCGGGGAAAGCCAAGATATGGTGTGGTGTGGTGGGTGAGAGGTCATGATAGTAGCTGCGAGTAGATGGAGTGCCGCGCAGAGTCGTGATTGGGTTGCGCCACCAACGCCACAACACCTGACCCGAGCTACACCCCACACAGCGGCCGAGTTGAACCACAACCCGAACACCCTCATGAGAAGCACGAACTCACATGGCGAAAGGTCGTGTGGTGGTCCTCCCATGGTGACTGCCAGCTCCGCACCACCACATGCAACCTCAGCGCGGGTGCTGCCCGAAGGGTCGCGGTGTCTCAGTCCGCGCATGACCTCTACCATGTCTGCATAAACGCGCCGTGCCGTTATGAAGGCATCAGAGGACGATGCACGGCTCACGATCGACAGCAGGGTTGGCTTGCCACCCCTGTCCAGATGGCTCCATTGGAACGACGAGTCGCATCGCAAGCTGCTCGGCTCATCCGGGCAGTGGACTCGACTTGGTCTGCCTCATGCCCGTGGACCACCATCCCCATAACCACCAGCCCCATACACCTGGCCTTGGTGCTGGTGGCTCGTATAGGTCGATACCGCCCCCGCGTCAATGTAGCCGTTGGTAGTTGCTGCATCCCACCGTGTGGGCGGCTGTGGCGTCAAACCATAGCTTGATGCTGAGGCGTGCCGACCGTCCGGCGTCCCGTAGGAGGGCATGCTTGGTATCCTGATGCCGGCGCTCGTGGGCGAGTGGGACTTCAAGCTCGGCGATAATGGGCGTGTAGAATACGAGCCCCATGACGAAGACGCGCCTGACAGGGATCGCGGTGATGCAATATGAGGGTCATGATGTCCATATGTACTCTCGGGGACCGTGGTTGTGTGGGCTGGGTGTGGGTATAGCGCCGGGCTTGTGCTGCTCACACGGGTGAGCATGGCGTGGCTCGGGGTCGGGGCAACGGTCGAGGAAGGCGATGCAGACTGCTGCGCATTAGTCACTGGGCTTCGAAAGCAAGGCCCGGTCCACTGAGCCACACGGGACTTACATATTTAGAGATGATCTTCTTGAGCGCCGGTGCCAAGATCTTCCAGGGGAACACCTTGACATCCTTTTCGATGTTGCGAGGTTTGGGATTCGGGAATGCCATGATGATCTTGAAGAACTCCTCGCTGTCTGCCTTGGCCTTGCTCACCGTCAGGGGGCGGAACCCTTCCAAGTTGCGTCGGATGCGGTTCTTCTCCTCCACCGTGAACCTGGCAGGCGCCGCGACCAGTTGTTCGAGCAGGTAGATGGTGTCAACGCTGGTAACAAAGCACTCGCTCTTCTCGGCCCAGTATATGCAGCTAATGCAGATGCTGTTTGCCGGGCGTTCGTTCACACCCACTGGCTTGAAGGTGGCGGTCAAGGTCGACCCCTGTTGATGCTTCCTGAATAGCACGATCCTCCTGCGGTTATCCCACTCCTCCTTTGTCCACCCAGTGGCCATAGACTCTAATTCGCCGGCGATCTTGAGCGCCGCCTTTTGACTGTATATCGCGTAAGGATTGAAAGACGAGCTAGGCGCCCCAGACTGCAGCGTGCTCGTGCGGACCAGCTGTGGGTTGGCCGAGGTCGGCGCCGGCAGTGAGGACAAACTAGGTCGAGTAATAGTTGTGTGACTTTGGTGGCTCATTGTCGGACTCCTCATGGAGTGGAGTGAAGCTCCGTAACTTCCCCATAGCGAAGGCGTTCTGATTGGAGGCGGGATTTGACGCGTGTAGTCGTCCGCGTACGAGGATCTATGGTATGCTCCGATCATGCTGCCGTTGGTGCTATTGCTCGAATAGCTCGGGTCGTAAGCAGTCGCGGCAGCAGCTTGCTGTGACCCCGGTGGGTATCCATAAGTATTTGTAGCAGCATCTGTGATCTGGTCCTGTTCAGACTTTTGCGCATCTATGTGCTCGGGTGACTGGGATGCGGTTGGTCTTGTGACTTCCTCAGCTGCCGCATCAGCTGGTCCTACTTGGGCGTCGTGATATGTGAACGTGCCTATATCAATGGACGCAAGGGGCTGCGCGTCTGGAATTTCAATAAGAAGTGATAAAGGCACGTTGACGCTGGCGCTCCTCGTGTCTTCGAAAGATGGCGCATCACCGCTCACCACATATCCGAAACCGCTGGCGTCATGAGAGTCCCGCACGGCGTGTGCTGCGCACCTCTGTTCGCCGAAGGCGAGATAGAAATGGCTGGTCACTGCAATCAAGTCATAAGGAGCCGATATTCTGATCATGACCTTGGTCGCGCAGACTCCAGATTCTGGCTGGTAAGAGATCAGGGTCGGCAAGACAGGTGCCATGTACTGGCTAGCAGAACCATTCGCCGTGAAGGCCAACTGATTGAGTTGTGCGGCAGCATTTTCGGACTGGTGTGCCGCTGGGAAGGACGGCGCCGAGTATTGATATTGCGAATCTGGAAATGGTCTGACTTGGTCGTATCCTAAATCAAAAGCTTCTCAGACATTGGGGTTCGATCATGCGAGGGACTTCGGGACAGGAATCTTACCGTGCATCTGGGGCGGTTGTGACTTTGAATACGAAGCCGTTGTCAGGAGGCCAGGTGGGGACTCCTCACGAAGAACTCCGCCGTTGGCTCTCGCCGCCGCCTCCTCCTCGTACCTAAGAGTCACAGTCTCCGGGGACTCGATGGCGTCGTCAACAATAATAGGCCTGTCGGTGTGAAATTGAGGCTGCAGAGACCAGTTAGGTCTGCTATATCTTGGGAAAATAGCCATTGCGCATGCGGACGGTGCCAGAACTGGCTGTTTTGCTGATCGTCACTCACCTCAAAGAGCTTGTAGGATTGATACCCGAACTTTGCAGCAGACATTCAAACTGCTTGCAACCAAAGTTGTCCGGAACAGCAGAGGCCGTGGCGCCCGAGGATTGCGATGCAACACTTGTTTCGGGAACAGTGTTGCGGAGACGGGTAGGCCTCGCGAAAGCTAGTACTGTGGAACTTTCTAATGCCTGGATGATCCAAGGCCTGTAGAAACGTTGTTTGGTTCTGCAATGTCTAAAAAGCGCCCTATAGACACGCGTATGAAGGGCCGAGGAATGGTGAAACAATACGACTCAAACTGGGTTATGCCGTTCTCAGTCGCAGCTTGGGTGGGAACCTGTTGAGGGAGTTAATGGCACTGAGATTGGCCTAGATCCCAAAATTGCAGTTTTCCTGACCTCAGAAGGTAGATTAATAACACAAAATATTTTGCTTCAATCCTTTGATGGTAGAACTGGTACGGGTCAGTCATGTTGTGAGGTAGCTCATTGGCTCGTAAGGCTGGTTGACAAACTAACTGAGTCGAGTCTCGGAAGAGGGAATCGTTCAAAACTTCGTTTCTCCACTCATGAAAATACCCAATGAGACAGCTATACAATGATCAGTAAGTCAGTCTGGCGGTAGAAGATTTCCTTTGACGTTTGGGTAGCAAGATTTGCTCCGCATATGATGGTGTTGCCAAGTTTCTGGTGGTTACACCTCAGGCTGGGGGATGTTGTATCTCACCTAACACTTCCGTAAGCAAATCAATCTGGGGACCGATGCAGTGAAATCCGGGCGGTTCCCTAAAGGGGTTGATATTGTGGACAGCTGGGGGGAAGAGGTTCGTTGGTAATGCAGGTAGCCCGAACCTGTTCGCATGAAGTCATGTTAGAGCGAAGTGCAATCAGAATACGCAAGCTCCCGAGTGGTTCGTGGGCTCCGCATGGTTCGTGCAATCGTTGGCAGAACCAGAAACATGACGGGGGAGGGGCAAAGGGCGACAACTAACAAGATCTAGAGTGGACGAACCAGAGAACTGGAACAGTTGGAAAGACAGCCGTCAGCAAACGGAGGACCCGAGTTGTCAAAGAATGTGTGAGACGCTGTTCCTCAAACTGGGACACTGGAACAGAGAAAGGGGAGGTTGAAAGTGTAGAATCAGAGAATTAGGTTTTCTAAGGAGGAACGAAGGGTTGATTCTCGAAGTGGTGGTGTTGAGCACAGTGAAGTAATGGGGGCTTGTCATCAGCAATCCTGTGATCGGTCGAGACCATGCATTACACGAGTCTTTCTACCGTAGAAAGTACCTTTCCCTAATTGTTCGCGTCCTGGGCGTTTCTTTTCGACGCCGCCCGGTGTCCCCCTCGTGATTGGTCTAACGGCGGCCACAGGGTGTTCGGAGCTTCTTGCATCTGGCTGCATGCAATCTGCTTTTGTTTTTGTCAAATCCACACTGGAGGCTCCTTGGAATTTGGACGCACGTGCAGGGTGAACCGGGAGGTTGCTTCGACATCCAGTATGTACATGGGAGGAGTGGTGACAGGGGGGTGTGAGTACAAGTAGCGGCCTGACAGGCAGAGAACTGTGAGCCGGCCGTTGAGCAGCGATGATGTCTCACGGCTCAATCAATGCAAGGGGGCTTGGGTCTGGTACTATGGGGGAGGAGAAGGAGTGGTGGAAAGGATATTGTCCTCAATGAGAGGACTCCGGGCTGCGATAGCATACTCCACATTAGACGGGAAGGGAAGTGGGTCGAGAGGGAGACGGACAGCGGGTTCCCTGGGTCGATCGCGGCATCTTCCTGTGGGCTAGTCGGGCTTTTTGGAAGAAAAAGCAGACAGATGGCAGATGGCCCAGGAGAACGGGGAATGACAAGACAGGGATCAGCAGACTTACGAAAGCCTAGTGCCCTGGGACAAGAGCGTGTGTGTGTAAGTGCTGCGGTGCTTCCAGCTGCGCCGGTGACGCCGCCGTGGGTGTGGATAGAAGCAATGTGCAATTTCGAAGTAGTTTTGCCCAGCAGTCGGGGACTATACTCCTCCAAGTCAGCGGCATGGTCACCATGAACCCTCTATTCGTGTTGTGAACGTAAATCCAAAACGGCGAAGCAAAGTTGAACCGGGGAGCAAAAACGCCATCGACTGGTCAAAACCCCCCCAAGATCCCTCGACACACAGTGGCGTCCGACAATCCCACAACATAGTACCCAGCTTTGTCAGGTAATCATGCCAGATGCCAGATGCGAGCGACGGCGGTCACTTTGAGTGAGAGAGTGAATGTACACTTGCTCCGATTGGTGATAGTCCGGGAGTCTCATTGGCTGGGCGTTCAACTAGTCTGTGCAGCTATTGGGTGATCGACGCCTGCGGGTTGCGAGTGGGTTGCAGCCCATTTTGGCTTGCGCGGTACATGGCGGACCCTGGAGTTGGTAGGACGACCAATCTCTGGTCCATTGCGATGCGCTTTTCTTGTGCTTGTTACGCCCCGATTACGTCCGAATCCTTGGCGTGGAGACGGTGCCCTCCCCTCCAGCTCGTAACCTCAACTTAGGCGGGCAGACAGCGGCACCAGCCGCTGGGTGGAACCTGACGCTGAAAGAACCAGCGTAGCGTAGCGTCGGCCAAACAGTTCCCTCGAAGCTACTAACATCGCTGAACTGGCCGTTGTGATGTTTGTCCTCCGATGCGGTGGTGGGACTAGGCCGAGATGGACGTCTACTTGGACGACTCAATCGAGGGGTAGCATTCCTTGAGGATTCCAATGGAAACGTACAGATAGGAGAGCAGTAGCAACTGACAGAGTGTGAAACTGAGGAGCCTCTGGAAACGATCGTCTCGCCGCGGTTCTTTTTCCTAAGCCTGGTGGTGCTGGCCGCAGGCCTAGTCGTATGCAATACACACCCTTGGTCTGCTGCGTGTAATCTTGCCGGCATGTACAGCACAGGAGAGACAAGAGCTATGGCGCACGTCTACAGGTGAGCTTGGTGTGGAATGAAAGTCACCCAAGAATGAACTGGGAGAGCTCAAGTGAGAAGTCAATGGGCCGTAATCTTGAATATGGATCAGGAGAAGTAGGACCATGTCATTGTCGCCATTGCGTGCACCATTGTTCTCGAAGGCGCATGGGCAGAAGAGCTGCCTTTATTGCGAATTCTGGCGCTCGGCAACAGAGCATCATGGCATACCTAGCCTTGATCAGAAACTCAAGTCCCACAAGGTGACCCATGGCATTGTCTAGCTGCCGGGAATGGCTGCTCTGAATGCCTTGATGTACCATGACCGTATGTGACTGTGTCTGTCTGTCTGTCTGTCTGTCTACGCCTAGATATTGCGGTGTGGTGGTAGGCGGGCAAGTCGCAGCGGGGGGCCACTACGATGCTCTACAACATGCCGTGTCTCGAGGACTGGCGATGTGCTTAATCGGCACGTTATGCTTCAAAGCGCATGCAGCCTGCCGGGCTGGCGGAAGTACCTCGTCAAAAGTGCCGGCCGCTCACCGTGCCAGGCACTCATAGTACTTGTCATTTTTATTTAGGCCGGGAATCTCTCGGATCTTGGAAAGATCGGAAGGGGCCAGGAGCTGATGATGCTATCCAGTGCGACTGGTATCCATCGACATGGCCCCCGATAGCCCCTAAGCCCGGCGGCAGGATCCCCTGCTAGCTCCCGCTAGACCTTACTCAATAGCCTGGGCCTAGTGGAAAGATACCGCCGTGGGGACTATCCCCACCATGCACCTTAGCCGAGCTTTAGTCCCCTGTTCCTCCAGCCCCAAGGACGCTCCTCGCTGCAAAGGTTGCCGGAAGCGTAATTCTCTGGCCAAAATTGGCCTCTAAGCATCGTTCAGGTTGTCGTGTAGATAGGGGCAAGGGGGCCGGGGAGGATTCGAGCCTCCTGGTGAAGCGTGAGGTGACCAAATTAGTCTCGCACCGGCCCGGAAATGGGCTCCCAGTCGCTCACCTCTGTTGTAGGCCCAAGTGAGAAAGAACCTTCTCGCAAGCTCAGCAGTGGCAATGTCTCCATCCCGAGGACTCCCAGTTGCAGTTTCGAGTTCCTTTCACTACGGCCGTACTTGATCTGTCAGGCGGTATTCGAAACCATACATGGTAGGTTGGAATCAAGCAAGCAGCGGAAATACAAGTGCTACCGAAAGGCTGGTTGGAGCAGGGGTGGCCATCACACCCTAATCACATTCGCATACGGGTGTGCTTGTCGCTGACAGTTTCCGTGTGTTCTGCACTGAATATTCATCGAACCAAGGCCCCCATGTGTACCTGGGCGTGTCTTCATTACTCGCTCGAGATCCATCGGTCTCTGCCACAAGCTGGTGCGGCAGATGCCCAGCAAGTTTCCATCACCGTCCCCTTCGCCGATTTTTCAGCCTCTCGACTGGGCTGGCCCATCTGATTGTCTTGGGCCCCGTAGGTCGAGGACGAAGTGGATTCTTCGGGTCGCACCCCTGGAACGTACTAACTAGTGTAAGGGGCTGGCTTCTCCACAAGATCCCAGGAGCGACAGAATTCCGGGGAACCCGAACCCACCACACATTGAGATCTCGGTAATCGGAGCCGTACACAACCTGGTCGATTGTATCATGACGTTGCTTGTCCTGGAGATATTGATCCTTTTTGATCAATGTACCTTGGTACCCAGAGCCTCGTCGGGTGATGCCGAGCCTTTGGTACTGCACCAATAGCAGTTCATTTTTTCATCTTTGCAATAGCCCATTGCGATTGCAAAATCGGCTCCAAAAAGGTGCTACGCTCAAGGCCATGTTCAGACAGGCCATTGAAGCTCAGGAAATCCCAACCCACTGGCCTCTGGTACTTATCGCTCCCCACCCATATCTCACACCAACGTTGCATTCAGCACAGGCCCGATACATGACTATAGTTGTGTTTCTGCGTGAAGCAAAGATACGTACGAATACGCCTTCGCTCTGGGAATATCGTGTTTCATATATGACAGCTCTGCCATTTGAGCCAAAAATGGTAACGGGAAACGAGACGACGCGCTTGGTTACATACAGATCATGCACGGGAATGTGTTCTCTCAGATCTTGCGGTCTCCCTTGAGACCTATCCCGACTCCTGGGAGCGTCCCACACCACCCATTCATTTACGCTGTGTGACGTGCACCACAGTAGCCATGGCTTGATGGGGCCTCCTGTCCTCTAGACTTGGCCGCGCTCGCTCCCAACTGAATCAACACCGTGGGCTACGAGCGGGTTGCTAGTCAGAGATAACCTGAGGGTGTCACAACTTCTGGTCCCCCCAACTGGTGAATACCATTGCGCTGGGAAGCTATCGGGAGCCAAATTCCCGGTCCACTTCTTTGGGTCAAGATCCTCATGCGACTAGCCAAACGTTTCCCGTACGCCAGTTCGATTTTGTACCTGAAGCAAGCTACCAAGCGTTATAGCCGCGAGCACGAATCCAATGGCGGGGAACCTTTCGCTAGTTCTCATCTGTCAAGGTTTGTTGATTGGCGA